CTCTCACGTACCAATCAGAGGAAGCAAAGAGGAACGAACCAAATCTTGCCGGTCAACCTTTCTCACATTAGCGCTGTTTGACTTGTAAGAAGAACATTAATTGCATTAAAAAGGTGGATATTGCCAGCGAGACTAAGGGTTGACCGGCTTCGAAGACGAACCATGCATAAGGTTTCCAGGATTCCAAATCCAACCTGCATTGATTTTGGCAGTAGATTAAGAACTTAAAGCTGGAGATCGACTTGAATTCACGGGTTCTAAGCTCGAAATCAACGACTCAAAAGAGCACCATCATCAACAGGAGAAGAAACAGAGTCGAAGTTGCTCGATGTACAGAGCGACTCACAGACTCGACAACAAAGAACGCGATCTACCACTGCGTTCAAGCAAGCATCTCTTGCAAGCAAACACACATCTACACACCATACTACTTAGCAGCTTCCATCCTCCTTGGATTGCTCATAACAGCCCTACAAGTACGTGCAGATACGATGCTGAGCTTATATGGTCGCACTGCAGTTTCACATGGCTGCCGCCACTGCCTCAAACCTTGGCTGCTTGGGGAGGAACTTCTGCTTCACGTACACGTCCATGTAGTCGCCGAAGACGAACTTGGGGTAGGACGCAGGAACCCTGTCGGACTCGGCTGAGAGGAGCTTCGTCGCCGGAGCAATGGTAGCCTTGAGGGAGGGGTTGTAGAAGGAGGCGATGGAGCGGCGGTTGCCGTCGGGGGTGGCGAGCACGCGGTGCCACACGCTCTTGTACCGGCCGTTGCTCAGCACCTCGATCTGGTCCCCGGTGTTGATCACGATGGAGTTCTTCACGGGCTGGACGTCGATCCACTGGCCGTCTTTGAGGATCTGGAGGCCGCCGACTTCGTCGTCCTGGAAGAGGAGGATGACGCCGCCGGCGTCGGTGTGGGCCCGGAGACCGTCGACGAGGTCAGGGCGTGGGCATGGAGGGTAGTGGCTCACCTTCGTCCCGAAGAAGGGCTGGTGCTTGCCGTTTGCAGAGAACGCTTTCCTTATGCAACCATTCTCCAGGCCCAGGTTCTCGTCCATCACTTCCATTACCTTCTCCGCTAGCTTCTTCAGCTCGTCCCTGAACTCCTTCATCGTCTCCCTGCAAGTTAGCCAAGATATATCAGTGCGCAGAGAAGAAGCAGTGTTGCTCTGTTCGATTCCTCGACTACTTACTTGAACTCCGGTGGGTTCGACGGCCATGGCATGCCATCTTGGAGGACGAACACATCCTCCCAATCCACATCACTCAGCCGCTTACCAACCCCTCCCTCGGTTTCTCCATCCACAAGCTCGTTGAACGACCGGACGGGGTTGGACTCCCTGAAGCTTTTCTCTCGCAGTCTGTAGCACTCGGAACAGACCTTCTTCACACGCTCGAGGAGCTCCTCTGCAATCCCATGGTTCGCCAGCTGCAGACACGAAGGATTGACGATAACACATCCATAAAAGAAATCAGGGTTACGGTTCTTAGACTGCAACCGCTAGCCTACCTGAAAGAATCCCCACTCTTCACAGCCATTAGCGATCTGGGCCAAAGCTTCAGCCCTCTGCTCGCCATCCAACTTGGAGAAATCAATGACCGGAATCATCCTGCCTCGATCTACAGAAGACTCAGTAACTTTCCTCTGCAATGGATGCGAGGATTGGGAAGCCCCTGCGGCCTTTTATAATGCAAACTTCTCGGATGTCAACTCTTAGCTTAATCCAATGAAGGCTAAACGGATTAAAGAAACCAGTCATCATTGTGGCCGGTGTTGAGAACAAGAAGGCAGAGAGACCTTGAAGTTCTCATGCTTTCGCACTCTTGACTTGGTAAAAAAGGATTTTAAGTAGTCGGCTGGGAGACGATGAGGATGGGTGCATTGAACCCTACTGTTGCTCTCATGCACGCCACATTCTCCTCCACCACCACCACCACCACCAAGACTCATAAAAGCAGAGACACTTGGATCATTCCGGTTGTCATGCATAACATGCTCCTCTGTCTCACAGATGAGCAGCACCATCGACACCCCCCCGCATCTGCGGGTGTGAACAGGTGCTTGTTGTTGCCGCAGAAAGCAATCTGAAACCTGCCCGCTGCTCTCAGCATCATAGTTTATGATCATTCACAGGGACTCGACGTTGATAGATTCGATGGTCATGCTGGGACTTCCCTGGGCATCACTCTGCCGACTTCCTAAATCCAAATTATAATACTCCAAAGCCCACGTTGACTTTCTCCACATGGACTGCGACATGCTCCTCCTGACTCTGACTTCCGCAGTAACAGTATCCCTTGATCTTGGCCATGGTCCAAGGGTCAAATATGGAAGAAGAAGAAGAAGAAGACTTGGGTGGATTGCAGAATAAAACAGCCAACCCTTAAAGAGTTATCTGTAGCTGCTTCAATTCTCATATCAATCTTCTATTTCAAACCAAGACAATAAATACATCATCAAACAACAAATCTCAGGGCTCTTTCATGATGTCAACAGCTATGAAACCAGTGGTTGTGACCAGAGTTAAGGGGTGGGTCCAAATGCCCATGACCTTGGTTGGAATGATTGAGAGAATTCATCATCTGTACTTCTCTGGGTATTGGGATTGAAGAGGCCACAAAAGAATAATGCTAGTAGTTAAGCAGACATGTGGAGTTTAGCTAGAAAATAGTAAGCTTTCATCAAATACTAGCTAAAAAATATTATCATCCTCCAATGAGGAACACAGTCTGTGTTATAAGTTGCCTTTATGGCCACATGGGGGAAGAAAAGTTGAACTTGGGTGTAGGTTTAGGTTCATTGTCTTCCTTAATCATTCATTCATCTATTAAACAACTAAGGATAGATTTATAATATACAAAAAATAATAATAATTTTGTAGGGTAAATACCAAGTTTTTTCCATGTAAATTAGTTATCATATCACCACTATGTTAATGTTTTCGGTGTCATAAAATTTATTTTATTATAATTATTATAAATAAATAAACCTCATAAAATGTAGTCAGTAGTATGATTGACCTCATCATGCATTCAATTCTCACATATGGAGCAGTTATCAGTTGCTTGTCAATGATTCTTCACAAACCAAACCCTTTGACTCTTTCTCCATATCAGCCACTAGACACTTCGTCATGTTGCACTCTTTTCTTTGATCTGTGTGCCAAATGCATGCACATTAAACAAAACCATTTGAAGTTGAGAAGCCATTGATGTGGAGGATTCAACTACTCCCCAAGACTTTCTATCTTAGATGTTGTCAAGTTGGAATAATGAGGGCAGCCTTTATCCATAGTGAGCTCAGATTGACAACTAATTTATGCTGTTCATGAGAGGTAGAAGATGTCATACAGTATATCAGTTTAGTGCTATATTTAAAATGGAGAAAAATTTGAATGAATTTATAAGAGATAGATAAGTTTACCAGTTTTGAATCAGTAGTTCAAATTTAATAAAATAAATGAATCAATGATCTCAAATCGAATGATATTATTATCATTTTAGTATTTAATATGATGAGATATTTTAAGTAGAAAAAGTCTATCTACCAAAATGAATAAATGACACCCGAGATACGTGATATGTGTCAAAGAAGATATATTAGAGATATGTTGAATAAGTGGCTATGTTATGCAGTAGTGTACAATCCGTGTTAATCTCAACATTTATATTTATGTTTTTATGATGATTTTGATCTTATTCTATGGAATTAAGTTTGAACTCCACTTAAATAGGCTCAATTGGGGACCCAATCCACTTGAGTCCCGACCCAACCAATTGAATCGCACAGCAGATCTGTGGTCAACCCGACATGGTGTGACTCGACCAACTCGCACTTGATTGGCGGCATCGGGGCCACTTATCAGGATGTTGCACGGATCTCCACAGCATCCATCAAGCTCGCTTGTGTGGGTTCAACGCAATCTGTGACACTGATGGACGGCGATCCTGAAAGGAAATGGATATCACCCATCAGGGTCGCGCAGACCTTTTACGGATCTCGAAGCATCTGGAGACTAGATGAACGGTGATCCTTCACGGAATGACTGGTCCGTGAGTCAGCGCGGCCTCATCTCCTTGGACGCGCCCCTCTTCTTCTTTTCGGCTTTTATCCCCGCCCACGCGATCGCTCGACCGTGCGGCCGCTCCTCGTCTTGCCTGCTTTCCCCATTCCGTATTCTCACTCCCAATCGTCGCCGGAGGCCATGAAGAAGGGCGGAGCTGCCCAGAGGGGTGACGCCAGAGGAGGCGAAGCGGCGGCGGCGGCCGCGCTGGCGGCGGTGGAGGAGGAGGACGAGGATGAGGAGGAGGAGGAACAAGAATCCTCCTCTTCGGACTCCGGGAAGCTCTACGAGGCGTACAACGAGCTCCACGGGCTGGCACAGGAGTTCGAGACGCCCTTCGAGGTACCGGCGGTGCTGGTGGTGGGGCACCAGACCGACGGGAAGAGCGCGCTCGTGGAGGCCCTCATGGGTTTCCAGTTCAACCACGTCGGCGGCGGCACCAAGACCCGCCGGCCGATCACCCTTCACATGAAGTACAACCCCGGTTACCGCGTCCCGGTCTGCCGCCTCGTTTCCGACGCTGACCCCGCCGTCGCCAGTCGCATGTCCCTTCCCGAGATCCAGGTGATTCTCTTTAGTCCTTCCTTTCTATTGTATCCCTATATAGACGCATTGAAGCAAGTGTTGCTGCTGCAGGGTGGTAGTTGTTGTATTTTCTCAGAATTTCCAAACGAATCATAAAAAGAACTCTGATTACTATATGGGGTTATAGGTACATTACATGTTTGTTCTAATGCTTGTAGTTGGTGTTCGACAGTAAGCAATGTGTTTGCACTCAATACATTTTCAGAACATCATTTGGTGTTTTCGCACTTAGTCACTGATGTATTGCTTTATTTCTGCAAATGGAGGCTCAAGAAACTGAGTTTTATATAAAATACTTACTATCTTCATGGGGGGAATCAATCTTTCTTCTTATTAATTTGTGGTCATCAACCTGCTAACAGTGGCAGATTTTAAAGTGTGTTCTGTGGGACGAGTGAAAATTGATGTAAAAAAGATGTGGTTTCTTCCCTTTGAACAAATACATCCAGATTAGTTCGATAATGATTTTATTTTTGTTTTAGCTAATGGCTTATATACTTTGCTAAGATAATTACTGCTGTCACATACTGGCATTACTATTCTTGCTTCTGTTTTGAATGCCTGTGGGACAATAAGGTTGAGTTCATCATACCCTATTTATGTGCTCTTGGTGATTGCTCATTCTTTGTTTTCTTCCAGGCTTATATTGAAGCTGAAAACATGAGGCTGGAGAGTGATCCTTGTCAGTTTTCAGAAAAAGAAATCATTATTAGGATAGAGTATAAGTACTGCCCAAATCTTACCATCATTGATACACCGGGTCTTATTATTCCAGCTCCAGGTCGAAGGAACCGAACTTTACAGGTGTATTTTCCACTTTGCTTCTTTATGAGTTACTTCACACAAATATTATGAAGTGATGTTAAGCTAAAAAAAATCATGCATGATTGAGGATCACGGCTGGCGTTTCTAGCTGCTAACGCTATTTAACAATTTTTTGCATCCCTTTGATGAGATCTTTTTTTTTCTTTTTTGCAGGGACAAGCTCGTGCAGTGGAGGCACTTGTACGAGCTAAAATGCAGCATAAAGAGTTAATCATTTTATGCCTTGAAGATTGCAGTGATTGGAGTAATGCCACAACACGCAGAATAGTGATGCAAGTCTGTACCATCTTCTTTTGGTAGTTTGTGCTGCTCATTTATTTGACTTGTTCCATGACTCAGCACACAGTCTGGCAGTTGTTGCATTCTGAAATTTGGAATTCTCTTAAGTCTGTCACAGTAAATTTGGTCACTTGGTTTCTTTGGTTAATACAGATTGATCCTGAGCTTTCAAGGACTGTCATTGTATCCACAAAGCTCGACACAAAAATTCTGCAGTTTGCACGGGCTTCAGATGTTGAAGTTTTTCTTAAACCACCTGCTTGTACATTGGATGGCTGTTTGTTAGGTGGTTCACCCTTCTTCACTTCTGTGCCATCAGGGAGAGTTGGTTCTGGGAGTGAAGCTATTTATCGATCCAATGAGGAGTTTAAGAAAGTTCTGTTTTCTATATGCCACTTAATTCTCTATATGCAATCTTTGTATTTCTGCACATCAAAATTTGTTTACCGGAGGATGTGATCTACTTGTACTGTTCCTGGTGTTGGAGTTGCACATGTTTATATGTTAATGTTTATGTTTCTTGTGTCCACGAAGATCACTAAAATAATATTCATGAATCTATCACACACGAATAATTATGAATCTAGGTCATGACCTTTTTATGTTGAGAATGTTGTTTATCAAATGACTGTCGAGTATTATCTAACATTACATGAAGATTCTACGGCCACATGTAATGCTTATACTTGTTCTCTGTTCATATCTTTTAAATGCAGGCCATCTGTTTGAGAGAAATGGAAGATATTGTGGCTTTAGAGGGAAAGCTAGGTAGGTCATTGTCAAAGGAGGAAAGAAGTAGAATAGGTGTGAGCAGCCTTAGATTATTTTTGGAAGAATTGTTGCAGAAAAGGTACAAATATTTATTCATCCTTATTTCTAGTATTGATGTAATGTGGACCTTCTAATGTTGTTTCTGAAACTATGTTCCTAAGGTATATGGACAATGTTCCACTAATCATTCCACTTTTGGAGAAGGAACTTCGGAGCACTACGAGGAAAATACGTGAAACTAACCAAGAATTCAGGTGAATACTTAAGTTTATGTTTATGATGAGTCAAGATGAGGTTTATTGCAGTACAGGATGATAAACTTCAATGTTATGTTTTTTCATTGAATGCTTTCCGATCTTTGCAAGCTACTATTATAAATAGGTTGGATTCATTAACTTAGGAGTCTAGGTTTTTTTTGTTTTGTTTTGTGTCTGTCACGTACCTAAAGTAATTTGGAGTAAATATGACAGTTGAAATGTCTTTCCTGATGTTTTCTTTATTTACTCTTGTTATGTTTGTCTACAGAAATTTGGATGAAGCAAAATTGAAGGAAAAGGGACGTGCATTCCATGACTCTTTTTTGACCAAGGTTCTCTTCAGTTATTCAATTTATTTTAAAAAATTTCCAAATATAAATACAACAAAAACATTGATAATAGACAAACAAGATCATCCAACTCACTGTTTGTTGATATACTTCTATGTTTGACATATTTTATTATGCATATGAAGAGCTGTGCTGATCCATAATTTCTTTTCAGTTATCTTTGTTATTGAAAGGCACAGTTGTGGCACCTCCTGATAAATTTGGTACGCTCTGTAGCCTGTTTCATGATGATAAGTATTAGGAATGTTTCATGTTGTTCTTTTGAAACAAAGCGATGCTTCATTATGTCACCTGTGCAAATTTAAATTGCTCAATTTGCAGGAGAAACATTGCTGGATGAGAGGACTATGGGTGGACCTTTTACAGGAACTGACAGTCTTCAGCTTCCACACAAGATGATGCCTGTAAGTTCTGCTGCTGTAGCCTGTTAGTCTATATATGTGAGATTAACATGCATGTGAGTTTAGCGTACAGTTATCATCTTATTTCATGAACTGCATTTTACATCTTTGTAATCGCACAATTAAGATGAAATACTAGGTATTTCAAACTAACCACACAATGTCCCAGTGAGACTCTCTGCCATTGTGTGATCTGAGGGTCAGATTGGTTCAGTGAGGACTAAGCATTGCAGGTCAAAGAAAGTTTGCCTTTGTTTGATGTTATATTATCCTTTTCATGTCCTGAGAAGAGTCAAACTGGTCCAGTGAGGCCCTGTGATGCTCCATTTTCTATTAATATGTTTGAACAATAAGCTTGCATGTTGGGAAAGGATTGCTTCATGATGCCAAATGTTTTTCTCATCTTTCTCATTCTTTTATGATGCTAATTTATCTTCTATCATGTTATAAGGTGCTTGTGGTTATTGCAAATGAAACTGAGTGTGTATTGAGGAGGTTTCTTTGGAGTAAAGGCATAGGATGTCAAATACTACATCTAATATGTTGGGACAGTGTTATCTACAGTCATTAGAACAGGGTTGTCTCAGGATATCGAGATCGAGTATTTGGGCCAAGTTCTTGAACAAGAAGCAAACCTAGCTTGCGTGTTCCTGAAGTCAATTATGGAAGTTGGATAATGACCCAGAATGAGTGACCTTCCAAGTAATATAGATAAATGGACATTGAATCAAATGCAAGAGCTATTCAACAACACGGTATTGAAATTGTCCTGCAAAGGGAGTACGCTATCTATTATTACACTATGAATTGTCTAATTTTGGGTTCTGATGTGTCATCAGTTGGGTATAGATAAACGGGCTACTTGATTTTTTGGGAATGGGTAGAGAATGAATTCAATTATGTAACTTTTATCGGTATCACTAGAAGTAGTTACAGTGGGTGACCGTCAAGTGGCGACCCATTATAGAATAAGGATCTAAATGCCTTAAGGAATTCGGTGCTTTTGATAGAACAAGGTTTTTCTTTGTTTTATATACACTGGGAGACCAATTGACTGTTCAACTAGTATGTTACTTCTCTGAGGCTATTTGAGTCTTGAACCAATTTATACAACATAAAGTTTGGCACGGTAAGGGTACAACAGATTTATCACTTGTATGACACAAGTGCCATACTATGTTAATCAAGTAACAAATAGAAGTTACTAAAGATGGCATGTTGTCTGCTATTCTTTGAGCAAGTTAGATTTGCTAAACTTAGATCCTCAGTATGAGATTTGAACTCAGACATGCATATTATTGAAACGAGGCTGACTGCCAGCAGGAGAGGGGAAAAAAGTAAGTGGATGCTGGGGTTTGTAGATTCTGGTCTTTTACCCTTAATGTATTGTTAAATGTGTGTGGCATCACAACTTTTAATAATTTTTTGACTAGATGAAATTTAACTACGTAGTTAAGTGTATGCTTCATAAGTATAGCATTTGTATGCAAGAATATCTGTGATTGCATTCAGATGTTCAGTTTCTTTCTGGCATCACTTGCAACTTAAGGTCTGGTCAGCATAACATATAAACTATTGGGTTAATAACCCTGTTTATATCTCCTTCTCAGAATGCTGGAATGCGTCTTTATGGCGGTGCGCAATACCATCGTGCAATGGCAGAATTTCGTCTTGTTGTTGGAGGTGTCAAGTGTCCTCCAATTACTAGGGAGGAGATAGTAAATGCATGTGGAGTTGAAGACATTCATGATGGAACAAACTACTCTAGGTATTTCTTAGTTTTTCTCACTTTTTTGTTGTTTAACCTCATTCATCTCTCTGATGTAATAACTCTGTTTTATTCAACTTTTGTCCTAGGACTGCCTGCGTAATTGCTGTTGCCAAAGCTCGTGATACCTTTGAGCCTTTCCTTCATCAGGTTCATGATTAAGTGTCATTCTATTTCTTTTTCCTTGTATTTGTACTGAGTTCTATCTTCTACCATTGATGAAGAATGATCAAACCAGGAAATCTAGCTGGTGACATAGGGCAGAACCTAGTAACTTCTGACTTGTTTAGCCTCCCGTATGCCTTCAATTTAGACATTGTGCTCAAATTTCTGATTGCATCTTACACGTGTTTGTGAAGGCTAAAATTTGTAGGTGGGCTGGCTATCCTTGTGAATTGACCTTACAGACTTGGCCATATATACACATATATGCATTATATAAACATTATAAGCATACATATATAAAGATCTGTTCTACATTCTTGGCTAATATATTTCTTTTTGACCAGGTTATCTGAAGACATCCACCTGTATTTTACCAAGTTTCAGGACTAGTTACTTCTATTGTCTTGATTTAATTCCCTGTATTGGAACTATCCATGCTTTGGGTTCAAGGAATAAATTCCATCTGTATTCCGTTTGACAATCTTGTTGAATAAAGTATGGAGGATCAGACGTTTATCCTTCCTGCATGCACATTCTGAACTGACCTCACTTGTCTTTCAGAAGAAGATAATGTTTGTTATGCTTATTTGCACATACATATTTCAGTTTCTACATATGGTAATTAGAGAAAACTATCACTTAAATTTCTCAAATTTGTCTCTATTTGGTACTTGGACTGTTGGACCTTATCTAAAACTTCGGTGTTGCCTATCTTCTGACAGTTGGGCTTTAGGCTTCTATACATTTTGAAGAGGCTACTGCCTATTTCCATGTATCTGTTGCAGGTAACGGTCTTCCTAAATTTCTGCATGATGGTATATGTTGATGTTTGCTCATAAAACTAATCATAGACTTTCAACAGAAAGATGGAGAGTATCTAAGTGGCCATGAAGTATTTCTGAGACGTGTTGAGACAGCCTTTAATAATTTTGCTGAATCGACTGAACGATCATGTCGTGAAAAGTAATTTTGCTCATACCTTTCGAATATTTATTTATTCTCCCGATCTCGGCAGCTGAGAAGATATGTGTTGGTTAATCATGTTTTCGAGCTTTCCCACATGTTCCTGTTTCTAAATTTTGTTCTGCAACTGTTCCGACCTGGAGGCTATTATTATGTAGCCAGATTGCACTCTAGACTGATATCTCCAAATGACAAAAAGGTTGCTGTTGGTATGATCATGTGCGAGTATGCACAAGTATTTGATGTAGAATAATTCTAAAAGATGGTTTAATGTTCTTAAGTGCCTTTTGCTGAAAGACTAATGTAGCTCAATTTTTTGTATGCATTCAGATGTATGGAAGACTTAGTGAGCACTACACGATATGTCACTTGGTCTCTTCATAACAAGGTTTGGATGTTAATGCTTAGACCATCGACATACTCGACAAATTTTAATTTTTCCACCTTTACATACCCCTATGTTCAAAATTACAGAATCGGGCTGGATTATGCCAATTTTTGGACTCATTTGCTAGCTCAGAGCAGTATAGCGCTAGCACCATCTCTTCAGGTGTTCAACAGGAACAATACTTGGCTCTGAATGACAACAAATCTGATAGATCGAAGCCAGATTCAAAACCTAACCATTCTAACCCATGTTCTGACTCGATTCCATGCAATCCTACAGCAGAAACAAGGCTGGTTGATCTTTTGGATAGCACACTGTGGAACCGAAGACTGGCTCCTTCATCTGAAAGAATTGTTTATGCCTTGGTATATCAAATTTTTCATGGGATCAAGGAGCATTTTCTGGTATCTACAGAATTAAAGGTCTGTAAGTATATATTCGGTTTGCTTTTGGTGAAAAATTGTCAAATTTAATTTTGCCCGATTGATGACTTGGTGACTTATATTACATGCAGTTGATCTAAACTCTAGAGCTGCTGTAGAAACCAGTCATATGCTGTGCCATTCGATCATTTACTACTATCTAGAGCTTGTTGTCATTTTCACAGTGATGATTTATTGTTGTGCATTCAAAATGATTAGAACAGTAAATGCATTATCTGCCTACTATCTTACAAAGATATCGTGGTTGGTATAGAACTTCTTTCAACATGCAACAACACTTGTTAAGCTTCACATTCTTATCCCAGATAATGCCTCTCCTATGTTCTTTTTTTCATGGTAACTCTGTAGATTCAGCTGCCTGAAAATTTGTGGCTCACTTGAAATGATGTTGATGCTAGTCATTACCATGATTTTTAACTCTTTATCTAACTCCCAACATTTATTCTGCAGTTCAATTGCTTCTTCCTGATGCCGGTTGTTGACAAGTTGCCAGCCCTTCTGTGGGAAGACCTGGAATCTGCATTTGGAGATGACTTGGACCAAATTTTTGACATAACTCAGCTACGCCACTCTCTCGGACAGCGCAAGCGGGAATTGGAGATCGAATTGAAACGGGTACTGGCTTTTGACCTACCACAAATGTCATGATGCCTCTGTCCGTTCGCTAACTTAGATACGCTGCTTGCAGTTACAGAGGCTGAAGGAGAAGTTTAGAGAGATAAATGAGCAGTTGAGTTCTTATCTCGTCCGACCATAGATATTTCTAGCCTCAGTAGAGCCACAATGCAGATGCAGATGTCAGCGTTCTTTATCGATCCAATTGGACTTGTTATTGTAGATAGATGTAATGCCTTTGTTCAGTAAGAACAATGAATTATGTCATCTATTTCTACGATTTCAATCGGTTGAGATCTATTTCCATAATACCTGATACAATATTATTATATTTATCAACTGCCTAATGCAATCCTCCTTTTTCTTTTGCAGGATTGGGATCAACAATAAAACAACCCAACAAGAATTATTTGTCTCCTACAGGATGTTACTTTTAAGAAATACTATCGTTCTATGGCGATGCACAATTAGTGCACTTTCTTATATATCCATTGACTCTTCTCTTACGCCGTTGACATTGGGCATTAGGCTTTATGATCTCTTCTTGCTGTCGGTCAATAAGGCTCGGAGTCAAACCCTAATAAGATTTAGTGGTGATTTCATATAGCCACTTCCTCTCATGCTCAATATATAATTAAGTCGATTTTAAAATTATTAGTGATTCCATGAGATAACTAATAACCTTTTAAGCTTAAATTGTTAATCCAATTAATTTTAATCTCATTAGTCATAATTGACCTGATGGTATAAATGATGGATTAATTTATTGACCTTTTATGCCCTCCGAAAGTGCGTGTGCTGTCGCAAAAGTATTTTCTGGTATCGTTCGTTATCCAGAATACAAAATTAGGGTTTGCGTGCGTTTCGCGCCCGTGACTCACCGCCGCCTCATCTCTTGGAGGAAGCGATGAGGAGACGATGCCAAGAGGCGGCGGCGGAGGAGGAGGAACACGAATCCTCCTTTTCGGACTCCGGGAAGCTCTACGAGGCGTACAACGAGCTAGCTCCACGGGATGGCGCACTCTGGTTGCAGGTAAAGCACCCTCCGACCCACTCTGGTTGTGCTATCATGATATCTGTGCTCTGACCCACTCTGGTTGCAGGTAAATGGGCTAGGCTGGGCCGGCGTGGATGCAGCAGCTAAGGGCTCAACTCGAGAACGCATGTTACCGAGGCCTAAATTGAGTACCAAAGGCCATAAGGATGACTCCTATTGGTCCGCAATCACTGCCGTCGGGATGTTTGTTAGGTGAAGAGGAAAGGATCATATCATACTTCCTGCTTTAATTTAACTCTTCTTCTCGTCATCGCAGGCGGCTGAGGCGAAAAGCTTATGAATATAAAACCAACTGGAAAAGCGAGTCGGGATCTTCTGTACGGGTCAGAGCATGCTAACCATAAACTTCTGAAGATGATTTGCTCAAGTGAGTGGGCCCGATATGATCGACGTTTCACCTCATTCCTTGCCTCTAATTGATCGTGGACTTGTAGGCACAGAGGATCGGGCCTCCCTTAGAAATGGAGCTCAAACACGACTCCTCGACCCATGTGTGTGCAGCACGCGCCACGCACTTTTAAGGAGCGAGCGCCGATGAGAAGTAGCCACCCTCCAGAAAACAAATTGTCGAGAGGGTGCTTTTCCTACCCGTCGCTACACCCACATGCCCTGTCCATTGGATAAGTCAGGGACGGACGTGGTCCACATGGCTATCTAATGACAATGTCGGTAGATGGAACAGAAACGGGTGGGAATGCGTCGTCCCTGGTTTTCCCTGATTCGGTTGCCGTGTGAATGCGTCGCTCTCGAAGGAATCATACGCCTATTGAAACCGACGTGAGTCGTCGGGAGACCCCACAACAGTTCGAGTGCGACAAAATGGACAAACAACACAGTGGAATGGCCATTGGTGACTGCGAGAGCCACAGCAAGCAGAAAAAAAGTGTATCAAACGAGATGTTGGCATGTATAAAAGGGCAAGAAAGAAGGGGAGAGAGAGAGAGAGATCACGATCGACTCATTCCGGCGAGTGATTTGAAATCTGATGATGGCGGAGCGGCTCGCTGCTTCTTTCTCCCCTTCCTCCTGCATCCTCCCAGCTGCCTCCAAGCGGACGGCGCAGCCCTCCTCCGCAGCCCTCTCCTTCCTCCCTTCCCCTCGCCGCCTTCATTCCACCTCCTCTTGCTCCCTCCGCCCCGTCCCTTCGCCTCTCCGTCTCTTCCAGGTTTCCCCTCTTCCTCTTTCTTGATTATTGCTTCGATCAAGAAATAGAATCTTTATAATCTTTTGATCTGAGCGTCCTCGATCGGATCTTTTCCAGACGGCCGCGATCGGCTCACGCAGGACGTCGTCGGTCGTCGTGTGCGCGGCTTCCGATCCGGCGCAGCTGAGAAGCGCCAGGGAGGACCTCAAGGAGCTGCTTAAGACCACTTTCTGCCATCCGATCTTGGTAGGTAATTTCATTTTGTTATGCTGCCATTTAATTCGTTTCATGTCTTGACCGGGTAATCCAGCCTGCTGGAGTTCTCGAAGCAGTAGCATTCTAATTTGTGGATAGGTTGTTTCATTGATTGGATCCAGGGGATTCGAAGTGAATTAGTTTCTTACTGTTCTATGAGGACCTATCGCTACGTTATTAGCAACTAAATTGGGTTCTTAATATAATTATGAGGCCCGAAATGTTTATGATCGGAATGATTTGGTGAAACAGAGAGAGGTCCTACTTACAAGGCAACAGAGAGATGGATAATTAGGCAGATTCATAAAAGGTCGTACTGCTTTAAGATGATGTTTACAAGTTGCAGGAGTATGATGAAGCGGTGCGGACCAAAGTAGGCTGCTATTACTCAAGGAATAAAGGTGTGATGATACCACGGACACTTGATCTTGACCAAATAGGCAGGCATTCAAGAAGGCAGGAGTGGGCCTATATATATAGCCAATGGCAAACACGACAGCTAGAGGCTTTGTGGTGTCGTTCTTCCTAGTAGAATCAGTTTTTGTTGCTTTTACATCAATATTGAATATGGTCACTAGGCATTCTTTTTCTTTAATCTTTAATTTCTGTTTGTCAAGAATGTAGCTCTTGTCGTGCACGACATAAGAATTCAATTTCCCTGAGTGTTTAGCAAAAAGCACCTGTTTGTGTTCACAATTCTCCATACGAATTCAATTAATCAAATAGTAATTTAGGAGGCTTTTTTATAACTAGTTTGGGTTTATAAAGACCTGACCAAGAAAAAAAAGTCTGTCGTGCTCTGGTGACTAGTAACCACTTATTTTAAGTTTATTGCTTTTAGCTTTTCCTTAATCTTTCTTTAAATGATTTTGCTATTGCTAGTGATTGTGAGATTTCAGATAAATGATTTCATGCTTACCTGACAATAATCTCAGTGTTCTAGGATATTTTATTCTTCTACGATAAACTCACCTACAGCTTCTCTCCTTTGTCATTATGTGCTAAACCTATTAATTGGGTCTTCTTCAAGATGCATTAGGCTATATCATGTAAAGAGTCGTGTGATGATTTCATGACCTTACAGGTTCGTCTAGGATGGCATGATGCTGGTACATATGATAAGAATATTGCGGAGTGGCCAAAACGTGGGGGAGCTAATGGAAGCTTACGGTTTGAGATAGAATTGAAACATGCAGCCAACGCTGGTACTGAATATGTTGTATACAAAATTGGAATCTCTGTTTAAATTGAGGGATGCTAACTTGGTACTACCACAGGTCTTGTAAATGCTCTAAAGCTTCTTCAGTCTATTAAGGACAAGTATTCAAGTATTACATATGCAGATTTGTTCCAGTTGGCCAGTGCTACAGCTATTGAGGTCACATTCTTGAACTAGTCATTTTCCATGTACTAGGTTCTTATGTATTGCATGTGTGTTTTTTTGAACTTCCTTTTGTATCACAGCTCATAGTTATACATTTGTCATCTTGCAGGAGGCTGGTGGCCCCAAAATCCCTATGAAATATGGAAGAGTAGATGTTTCTGGGCCTGAACAGTGCCCAGAAGAGGGGAGGCTTCCTGGTGAGATAGCAATTCAAATCTTTTAGATCTCTTTTCAGCCTCTTTATATCATTTTTTTTAACATTCGATCATTATGGGTGACATGGAAAATTTTTTCCCTGCTGATCTCCTTATTATTATTATTATTATTATTATTATTTTTTGCTTATAATGGGTTTGCCCATATTTAGGCCATGATACTCAAAATTTGTGAAATGTTTCTGCATTTTGTTTTACTACCCATATATTCTTTCTTCAGCAAGATGTTGAGTTTTCATATGCTTTCTATATTGAGTCATTGACTATGTTAGTCTAGTTTAGGTTTATAAAATCTAGATGCCCTAATGTATTTGCTTTCTATATTGAGTCATCAACTATGTTAGTCTAGCTGAGGTATATGACATCTAGATGTCCTTAAATGTTGAGAAGTTTTTCTTTTGTGAAGTTTTTAGAGCGGAAGTAAGCATATGGCATTTGTAAAATGATTTTAGAGGTAAAGGGAATCTAGTTTGCAGGTGTTTGGTAAGTCTTAGGATCTTAATGTGAACATTCATATCTCAAACAAATCCGAAAGAAGATCTTCTGGTGGATTGTTTAGGTTGCCATAGCCATTTTGTCCATTTATCTTTGCATTGAGATATTTCAGTATGAATCAAGGTATAAGATAAGATTTAATAAACCTGTTAATTTTAATCAAATACAATTATGAAGTTATTTAATTTTTATTGCGCCTTCATGACAAGGTAGAAAATTGAACGACACCGAGCAATACGAGTCATGCCCTTTGTGTATGAAATGATTTATATAGGTCATTTTATATGTTATGATAATAATTTCAGATAAATTATGTAAATTTATTTGTTGTATAAACAAGGACATGATTCAGAATAAAGTCAGGTTCTTACATACTAGGTATCTTAGAACTCTTTAAAATTTTGACTTCCTTTGACATTGAATTAAAACTTATCCTACCAACTTGTACAAAAGACATTATACTGTATCTCTGCGTGCAGCTTATGATCATCTTCACAATTACCTTAAGACAAAGTTAGTTATAGATTATATTCTGTACATTTCTATGCAAAAAAATGAAGATTTTCATGCTAGATGGTCGATGGACGTTATGAATAGGGCGGGTGTATATTCCGTCTATAAAGATTGTGATGATAATGCTTCTCACTAATTTTGTTAAGATCTCTCTTCTCTTCCCAGCATCTTACTTCTACTTTTATGTTTTAGATGCTGGCCCAGCTTCACCAGCTGGTCACCTGCGGAATGTATTCTATAGAATGGGCCTTGACGACAAGGTTTAATCTTTTACAAATTTTCCAACTTGATTTTTCTTGATAATTATTTTCCTGAAAGTTTGTGTTTCTGGCTTCAGGAGATTGTTGCATTATCAGGTGCGCACACGCTTGGGCGTTCCAGACCAGAACGTAGTGGTTGGGGAAAAGCAGAAACCAAGTATACTGTATGTAGTCTCTTCCGTTCTCCATGTTTTATGTGTAACGGTATATTTGTTAAATTGGTTTTTTTTTTTGTTCAAGGTGAGATTATGTAGGAAGTTTCTGCACATCATTAATTAATATTGTTTGGGATAATGAAATGATTCAATGGTTTATTTACTTATCACCTTGGTTGATAGAAAGATGGACCTGGTGCACCTGGTGGACAATCATGGACGGTGCAATGGTTAAAATTTGACAATAGTTACTTCAGAGTAAGTTTGTCTCAACTTGTGTCAGATATGCCGTGCTGAGCTTTTCAGCAAATTGAACTTGGATTGTCCAAACCCTTCTTGTAGGATATCAAACAAGGAAAAGATGAAGATCTGCTAATCTTGCCCACAGATGCTGTTTTGTTTGAAGACTCACATTTTAAGGTATGACACACAAAAAAAAAGACTTTGCATGATCCAAGCAGGGGGGGGCGGGGGGCGGGGGATCCGAGTCATAACTTGCTTTATTGTTGTCAACACCACACACGATTTCAGGTCTATGCTGAGAAATATGCGGAGGATGAAGATGCATTTTTCAAGGATTATGCTGAAGCTCATGCTAAACTCAGCAATCTAGGTGCCAAATTTAACCCTCCCGAGGTTAGATAGACCATCCGAGTTAAAAATGCACTAGATATTTCTCTCTTTTATGCCTCTGCCACAAATTTTATTTAATGCAGTAGTAGATTTTATTGTTCAGGGGATCTCGATGAATGATGATGATGATTCCAACAAGACGGTAACAACACGGAAGCCATTCGTTGCAGCAGCATCGTATTCTGATGAGGTCTTGATCTAGCTATTTTATTTTCTTTGAAACATTGGCTCAGGCATATAAAGATACGCAGAACTGCTTGAAAAGGAATTTTCATTTATGTTACTTTTGTGGCTTGCAGGATTAAAATACATTACGAGTGCCGCTAGCTTCTACCTCTTTCGAATGGAAGTTTAAAGTTTAAACTTGCAGACGTGACTATGAAAATTGGAGTTAAAAGATGATTTTATTATATGCTTGAACTGCAGAGAGTCCATCTCCTCTCCACTCCTCTCCTCAACTTGAAGATTGCATATTAGTTTAGTCAAACTAGCGTGACTATTTGTAACTCGTGTGAAAAATTTTTGTTTCACGGATATATATTAGTGAATAAATTCACCATTTGGCGCCATCTATTATAATCGTATCCGCGAATATATTACTTGTTTGTGGACAGAGGGGCAGTTGCGCTTCTGGATGAGATGATGAGGAGACCATGAACCTATATGCATGAGGAAATTGAACACGAAATCTGAGTTTTGAGGATGACCATCACTACTTGGCCTTCTTTCTTTGTTCAAGGAAAATGGACGCACGTACTCCAATTGCGCCTTACACCGCCAACAAAGGAAAACGTAGGAAAAAGAGCTCTCGGCATATGAATCAAAAACCCTCCATTCCTGACATAGATGACGTACCGTACCTCCGATTTACATACCTGCAATTTCTTCCCAAGTGGGAGGCTAAAGCTTGAGCATTCATTCCCCGCCTTACAACTCGATAAACGTATGCTCTGTATTCAGGTGAAGGCAATGTTCCAAGCTACTCAAGACCTCACTTACAACGAGATTCCCCCCGTAATTGACACTCTTGCGCACTATTAAGACTTCTACTCAACTGAATAGTAACACACGAATGCAGAGACTAATAGCAGGTAACATTTGATGATGCAGAGAGCAGACTAATAGCAGCTTAACACCCAAAAGGTTGCTAATTATTTACCTCTTTTCGCTCAATCCAGTAAATGTTTCGGAAACAGACTAAAGGTTGAGCTCTATATACATGATAGGTATAACAAATTCAACAAATGCCCCAAAGCACCAATTTCATTAACAAACATCAGCGCTGCACATGCCAGCATAAGGCGAACAAAAGCGACCCATATGTTACAGTGTACCCTTCACAGCTCATAGAGAAATCCATCAGCCAAATCGAATCTCAGCTTTTTCCATTATCTCTCAGTCACACGGACACATACTCTTTCTTCCTTGAAGCACAAAACAAGAATGACAAGTCAGTCACTAATACTCATTTCCAACCATAAGTCATAATATAATAATTTCATGCTCTTCTTCTGGCTTATAATATATGGATGGAAAAGCATTAAAGTACAAAATAACTATCTACAACTATGACCATTAAGATTTTAAGTATATATATACCGAGATTTTTCTTATAAATCATGATCAATTCCAGTATTCTGCCTGATAAACATGACAAACATGAATTATAAAAATGAACAGATCAGATTAAAATATGCACTCCATGGAACATTAACTTCATGCACAGTTGATACTAAAAAACCCGAACAGAATAGCTTAATGCACTTCGATGAATGTTAACTCCATATTCATAGTAGATATTCCCCCGTATACGATGACTAGGGTCTATGAATTTAACAGAGGATTCTTCTTAATCATGATCGATTCCAGTATCCTGTTTAATAATACATCAGATATAAAAATGAAGAGAGTTATCTTTGATGTACTTCATAAATTGTTAACCTCTATATCCATTTATCCACAGTTGGTTGATAAACAACTTATATAATGACTGCTACATGCATGCATGAAATTGCAGGCTTCGATCCAGTTACTAGAAGACCAAGCAAGAACAATTTTAAGCAGCATCTAATTGTCCGACTCTCGATCTATAAATTAACAATTCCTTATCTGGAAGAATATTGAGAAAACAAATTAACCAAAACATCAAAGCAGTACATGCTAGAAGAAAATTGTGTACCTTGGCTACATGCACACATCAAATTCCCACTCTCTGGAGGAGTACAAGCGCTCCTTCCACACGAGCATCTTTTGGGAACGCAATCCCATGTCCTTTTTCTCGAGCTTATCGTAGTCTATGCACCCAATAAGCAGATTCACCTCGTATGACAAGCCTTGGGGAAACATTGAAGCCCCTAAGATCTTCTTCCCATTCGGCATGTAGTAGTCATGACTAACGTTCCCATAAGAAGGGAAATCAAGCTCCACAATTGGATCCTTGGGAAACAAGGATCCTATGTAGACCTCGAAGTTGGCCAAGGTACACAAGTAAACCTGCACGTTGACAGCCCAACATTCAAGATCAAGATCAAATGCCATGAGGGCACGACCAGAGCATAGCTGCTCGATCTGACTGATACACTGGTCCCAGCCATAGTAACCATATCTGGGATACGCCTCGGAGTACTCGTCGATCAAGTGGCTAACTAGGGTTTTGAGCACGATGCAGCACACGAAATTCAAAGTAGTGTTGAGCTCGATCCCCTTCACCTGAAACTGCATCTCCTTCTCCATGATCGCGAAGATGTCAGAGAGTGCAGCAGACAACAGTTGGTTCACCCGAGACCAGACGGCGGCTCTCCGGGTCTCGAGATCCGGCTCCACCTTCGCCTTCTTCGATGGGGCAAGAATAGAGAAGGCGGATTCCCCTCGCATCAAAGACTCCCAAACCCTGATTTTCTCCTCCTTTCCCCGCTCCGCTTCGCCGGATTCCTTGCCGTCGCTCGGCTCCACGGGTCCGGCGCCAGCGCTCCCAGGCTGCCGACCGGGGAAAAGACAGGCAGCGAGGCGGAATCCGGGAGAGAGGCCAAGCGGGGAGCGGGAGGGGCTCATGGGCGTAGAATCTGGAGTCAGATGGCGGTGGGAGAGGAGCAGCAGTAGCAGCAGCAGAAGCAGCGGCAAAGGCGGCGGAAGCAGCGGCAGTAGCAGTATCGGAGGGACGAAGAGCCTGATACGGGGCGGCGCGGAGACTCCATGGTTGTGGGAAGCAGCGAGTCGAGCTATACTACGAGGGATAGTCGGAAGAGTCGAAAGCGGGCCGCAACATTCTAGCAGGGCCGAACCGAACACCGTTACGCTCCACTGGTACAAACAAAGGGTTCTTATCGTGTCCTGTCGTGTAGCGTGTCGCGCACGCAGAATACCTCTCCTGAACCTGCCGGTACCAATATAGAGAGCTTCGCCACTCGATTGACATCAGGGGATGCAAACAATGCAATAGAACCACACGATTGACACCAGGATCTAAATTAAACGACGCTGATTAATCAAAGGATATAATTTTTTTTCTTTTCATTTTGACGTAATAATCAAAGGACACTAACAAAGATTTCATATCAATAAGCACAAGTGGATGTCCGTTTCAGTTGTGGCAAGCAAGTTGTGGCGAGTTTCATTCGTATAACTCAATATGTAACAATATTTAAAAAAAAAGAAAATGGATGAGATTACGAAGAACCAGCTCATCTAAAGTGAGAACAGATGCTTGCAAAAATATGATCAGGATTATAACAAAAATGGCAATCACTTCCAGTACAGAATGGATGTAATAAATCCAAGTATAATATGCTGCGATGCATACAAGAAAAGGTGTCTGACCATGTTTTCGAGAGGAAGATTAATGCTTGACTAGGCTATAGGTATATTAAGGCTGATGACCAAATGTAACCTAAAAAAGAATTAAAATCTCAAGTCCAAAACAGAAAGAAAACAATTGTGAAAGGAAAGTACAAAAAAAAAAAAAAGAATGAAGCTAGCGCATCCCTCGCATACAATTTGCACAAGCAGCATTAGCTCATATCGGCAATCCAACTATCAACCTGATTAACATTCTGTCTGTTTCAAAATTTTGTAGGGAGGATATGGTATTAATCTTCCGGTTGTGGCTGCAGCTAGTCACATTTAATGTTTCTGTAAATCCTTCTCACGAATAGAGTAGAGCCAAGATAACCCACAGCACCTGAATTTTTAACAGAAAGTCAGAGAGCTCAAAACTTATGGAAGAACACTTTGCAAATATCAGAATATTGGAGAAACTTACCACACAGTATTCCTAATCCCAAACAAAACATTAAGGTGTAGCCAAAGTAGAAGCTAGTCTGGAAAAACCCTGACATCTTGGTCTTCACATAGTAGTAATATACAGAGTAAAGGTATACATAGACAGCTGTTGAGGCAGCAGAAAGGAATGAAGTCCACTGCCAGTGATAGTTCTCAGCATTCAACAAAAAGTATGTGCCAACTATGGTCACACAAATGGTCACAATTATGAGGATCAGAAAAACAAGTAGCATAAACCCATACACATAATATACCTGCCCAAGAGACATTCAAAGCGATTGGTTAGTTGCGTACAATCTTTAATTCTGCGCATGCATGATTTTTTCAGTTACCGAAACCTAGAGATGCCTCAGAACATCAAGACTGGTTAGCACCAAATAAAAATCTCCTTCAGAACAATGACAACAAAAATTTTAAAACTCCCAAAGGCAACCATTAATTGAAAATAATTTAAAGAACTACATAACCACAGAATCATCATATTCTCAATGGCCATATCAAAACCCAATAACTAGAAACCATGGTGAGTGTAACTTTACGCCAAAAAAAATGATGCAATTTACCTTGTAATTCCAGAATGATGTGAAGACAAAGTACATCTCAATGAAGATACTACCAAATGGAAGCAATCCTCCCATAAGTGACACAACAGAAGGTGTAAGATACCATTTCTTCTCAGGGATAGGACGAGGAATGGTCTTCACACGGCATGGGTTGTTTGGTGCACCACTCCAGTTCCTACCAACAACAGTGCCTAGAAGTGTCAATGGAAAGGAGATGAAAGCCCATAATATGAACACAACCACCATTGTCCCAAATGGAATAGCTGCTAGTGATCCATAAAATATAGCGATTGTGTTAAGCATGAAGCCAATCCCAAAGCACAAAAATGGAAACAATGATGCTGCGAGGATCATTGCCTTTATCCAACTTTTACCTGACAATGAACCAGAAACACTATTTAGAGGCATGACTATACAGTGAAAAAGATAAAGACTTATCTTTTTAGAAATTCTTTTTTTTTGTCTCAATCTGTAGTGACATAATGGAAGCTTCTTAATCTCGGGTCACATTATTGAACTAAAAAAGTACATATGCCAAATAAAACTAAACGATCGTTTGAGAGGAATCATACCACCATTACGTGAGTAAAGTCCACCACTGACATAGCCCGAAATAAATGAGGTAAGAGCATAGCACACTATAAAAGTGGTAACAATAGCTCCTCGCCTGGCCAATAAATAATTGATTGATAGTAAGCAGGGGGAAAAGGTTATAGTACAGGTGCAAAAGACTAAAGATAAAAAAAAACAACTGTGGATAAAATATTACGTCGTAACAAACAACTAATGATTCATGTTAGCAGAGAAATAACCATATATGTCAATGATGATCCACACTGGTAGTGGAAGACACAGATGGTTCTACAATAACAAAGTTTACATGCAAGATGCAAATGCAAACACTAAAAGCTAAAACATTTGCACCACGGACATATTTGAGCTTCAATAAGATCCTATTCCAAATGGAAACTCATGTTATATTTCATGTACCAGCTTCTGACACCAATGATATGTTTCTCTGCAGGCAATCAAAGATAGATAAACATATGAAGACCCTGATACCGGACCAACACAAGTTAAGAGTGAATTATTCATTTGGACAACTAAGCAACCATAATTCAAGAAAATGTAACTAATGAACCAGCAGCACAGTCAGTAACTTGATCTATTCGAACATCGAAAAGTTTCAAGTTGAATCATCTTACCATACAAGTATATTTTGGTTTTGCTAAGTCATGAAGTATCTTATGGTTTGGAGTCTTTGGATTATGAATGCAAAGTGTCACTGAGCAGGTCAAATGGTTGCCTTCACAAATTGTAGCAACGCCAACATATAACCCCAGAAAGCTCTTAAGTATATTACCTTATAAATACATCATAAAAGGAAACAAGCACAAATGGAGGCACCAATGGCCATCTCCATGATGGAGCAATAACCATACAGTGGTAGCGTGTGATGCTCTATGGTAACTTCCAAGGACCAATAGAGAAAATAGAGGTGAGAAAAGACATTAGAACTTGAACAAGACATGAGCCATCTTTTCCATTCACTTCAGTGGTTATTACAAAAATCAGACAATTCTCTGTGACCTCATATATGATCTACAATAGATTAAAGGAATCAATATCTTATATTGTCCGATGGGAAATGAAGTTGTGCTTATAAATATTTCATATGTAAGCTCAGTGTTGAACCACCAGTGATGTGTAATAGCAGTTGCTTTGCTGGATACTGCATATCACCACGTTGGATCAATAATTAACAGAGACTCTAATTAGCAAGTAAGACGTGTCTATACGTACCCAATGTATAATGTTCCAATAATTGCCAACAAAATTACTAGAAGAACAAGCATTGCCAGCTGAGCACCGGTACCAACAAGAGCTGAAATAAGAACCAGCCTGCGTGGAGGTCGAAAGACATCACCATGAACAAGTTTCCATCCAGATTCTTCACTAACATCTCTTTCCTAACAAGAATCAGACCATATAAAGATCTAAGTTAGCTGACAGGACAATGACTTAAGCAAGTCACACCAGAAATGGTGAAAGAAGAGAATGCTCAAGGTAAATTCTGTACTTTGAAAAAACATAGCATGTAATTACCAGAGTCTCAAGATCATCATCTTCACGCGCATATTTTGCATAGTCATTTCTGAGAGTCCTCATCAATATCATTGATACCAGGCCAGTGAGGAAAATAACCATCATGAAAGAATTGAAGATAGAGAACCAGTGAATCTGTAAAGGCACAAAATATAGTTATCATGAGGCAGAAAATTTTTGATAATTCAAACTTTTCAATAACTACCAACAAGGATTTAGATACTTGCGCTGAGATCTTATTGGACCAAAACATATACAGTATGCCTACATAAACCAAAAAAGAGGTGATATGATTTGTTTAATATGTCATTAGTGGCTGCCAATCGACACATCCATATACAGTATGGAGTTGCTTATATACCATGGTATCTGAAACTAAGATAACCAGAGTACTTAGATCTATGACGTCATAAAGGATGGAAGAATTACAATAACATTACAAGAAAAAGAGCCATTTTGCAGGTACGAAAAAATATACATGATAAATAACTCAGAACTACATCACCTGGTGTTCAAAGAAAGGGTAATCCAAATAAACTTCAAAACGGCGAGAAAATGCCACATCAGTTGGCAACCATTTGACTGAATATGTCATATCCAATTTCATCCCAACTTCCAGAAGTTTAGGACTTTCTTGAGTGAGATTGACATGAATAATCTGCAAGAAAGAAACACAGAGAACAAATGATATCAGTAATGCTTTCAACAAAAGTACCCCTCCCCGAACACAAAAGAAAGGGCCCTGGATGTATTGATGTCATATGGCTATAAAAGACCACTTACCTGATTTCCATTGTGTTGGATGACAATGTTTTTGTGTGTGTAAAGATAATGCTTATCTTTGTTGTTTTTATCACTCTCTCCAACAAAACCTAATTAGAAATACAAATATTCTATATCAACAACATATGAAGTCTCATCCAAGATCAGAAGCAAACAGGAGGCAGGAACATACCCCACAACGGCAAGTCATCTAGACATGGCTCCAAACAACAAAGAGAGAAAAGTAATTAGGTAAAGGATAAGTAATTAACCAAAAAAATATGAAAAATCACCGGATGTAGATAAGCATATATAAGAAGAATGCAAAATCGTTTTCAAATGCAGGATAACATACCAAATAAAGAAATAAAGAATTTAAGTAATTTACCAATGAAAAATTCAAACCAATATGAGTTCTCTATAGCACTTGTGAATTGCGCAACTTTTGCATCATCAAGCTCAAGAGCACAAATGGAGCCTTTTTCAACATTGCCTAGCATTTCAATATTCAGAAATTTGATATTATCAATGACTGTCGATAATGGAAATGACTGTCACATACAATGTAATAGTTTGCATAAGACATGCAAAATTTGGTAAAGAGAAGTGTTTACGTTGAAACTTTATCTGGATCTGGCTGTCAATCAGTTCATTTCCACCGAGGACCTCCCCTAGCCCACCCCACTTGTGTGCAAGGTTCTTAGATGGATGACAAAATGGAAGGCTGTAATAATTATATGTCTCTTGAGGGTTATTGTAAGGGCCAACCTTGTTTACCCAGAGAGTAACCGGGTCTTCAGCTTGGTACTGCATGTGAATTGTTAACATGTGAGAACCATGATAAACAGATAAATAATTTTGCTGGTATAATTTCTAGCCCAGCAAAGAACCTAGTGATAAAAACTGACTTTTATTCACAGAATAAAAGATGAAGTAATAATCCCACATTATTTTCTAGGAGATACAAGAAAAAAATTGGAAATAGATAAAGCCTATATTGGTACTATATATCATATAACATGGCGATAATAAATCATTCATTCATGCAGAGACAATCGGTCAAACAAGTGATATATCACCCCTTCACACACACATATATGCCTATCAAATTCTCTACTGGTACCCCAACCTTCCAACACATCATATATACCTCCTCAGAAATTCTGGATGTACAACTCAAGAGAACACAAATATATGTGCATCGTCCCTACATGCGAGAAATACCATATGAAAACTTGCAGCTAAGTTTTACCAAGCAAAACTTAATGGTTGATAAACAAATTGCTATTCTACTCCATTTTTGAAGAACTTGTTGGCAATCTGTACTTATGCTCCCCACACTTCTGTACCTATCTCAAAGCAACCTAAACTTCAAAATTGGTTATCTAAAGTCACAAGATTATTTGAGCAACTTCAAAAGGCAGGTTAGAGATTCATGCCCAAGAGAAAGGGAAACATCTGCGAGCATCTTTCAAATACATGTTTTCGCCGCAAGCAGAACCACTTTAATCTTTTGCAGCAAATAAATCATAGGAGAAGATAAAACAAACAAGATTTAAAGCTCTTAATGGGGAGAGTAGATTATGCAGTTATCCAACTAAAAGGAAAAAAGTAACAAGTTGATGGAGGTGAAACATAAAGCTAGCTTAATTATCAGTTTTAAAAGTAATAGAAAGAGAGACACTAGATAAAAGTCGCATTAACAATTAGCTTATTCTAAAATTTTTGCACAAGTAATATATAAATTATATAGGAATTTTCCAAATGAAATTTTCCGAGCATGATTGTTGATGACAATGCATTAATTGACAGGAGAAAAACTACGAAAAATTTTAAACTAGAATTATAAACGAAGTTTAATAACTTTCTAGGCTAAAAATAAGAGCAAAAAGGGCATGTTGTCTTTGAGAATTAAATTCCATAAGAAGTCCCCAATTTGTCCTCGGCAACATTATTGAAATTAAAACTTGGGATTTGTAAATTCCAACCTATTTTTGTGATTTTATTTGGAGATTTCATGCATTTTCTTTTACTCTGTGATCCAAATTCAGTGATATGAGAAGAATCCAAGGTAGGCATACAGAGTACATATCATGTGGCATTGCAAGCTGGAGGAAGTCACATCTAAGTAGCTGATACCAGATTTATAGTACACGTTGTTCCTGCACAACATTACACGGAACATTATCCTAACCTCGATAATTTGGCAAGTGCGAGACATGAATCGCCAATTCATCATAAAATCGAAGATATGCAACAAGAAGTTACAGTCGGTGTCTTAAATGAAACATGGCAAGGTAGACTATAAGCAACTTTATCCAAAGCACTAATGCTTTCCAGCGAAATTCAATTACTAATAACCTATATCCGGAATCAAGAATCAAGAACTCGCCATTATTAAGCTATGACAAGAAACCACGTGTAAGGATAGAGATGCTGCACATTCTAAACGGATTTGTCTTGTAAACGGGATCCAATATGTGGAAATCAAGAAAGGCTCCATGGGATAGTAACCTTCGCACCTGATTCCAACTCAGACAGACGGTCGACAGGCAGCATCAGTACACGCTGAAATTACCATATGTTCTGGCCACGTAACACGAGAAATCACTAACGAAGAAGCCAAATCCAGAAATAATTCATTCTTGACAAAAGTAACCTAATCTTGATACCAACCCAACGACCAGTTCAAGAACTCATCGGAAAGAATCCTAAGTCCTGATCTACACCGGAATCAGGAGACCAAGAAACCCTAATCGATCATCGGATCCCGCTGTATCAACGCACCAGCCCCATTCACATCACAAAACTCGAAAGAATGAAATCTAGAAAAGGAAAGATGAAACGGAACACTAAGATCGACGGACCGGGATGGGGATCAGGGAGGCAAGATGCGTACCTTGTGGTCGGACTCGGAGGCGGAAGCTGAGGCGGCGAGGAAGAGGAGGAGGAAGAGGTGGAAAGCGGCGGGGAGGGAAGAGAGAGATCGAGCGCCGGAAAGCATCGCCGCTGCCGGATCTGAACGCGCGGTGGGCGGAGAGGAGGGAGTCTCTAAATGCTCGTAACGGAGGACGAAACCGAGCCTCTGCTTCTGGGGGCATTCTATGAATTAATAGCATATGATGCGGGAAGGAAGCAGTGGTGTGTGATGTCGTGAGCCCCCCATTGCGAGATTGGATTCGAGTACATGGGTTAGGGTTGGGTCCGATCAAGATCGTTGATATTGCCGGACCACGTTCGATCAAGATTGGATAAAGAAATCTGAGGTAATTATAGATTATTCCTATAATTAATTATCTTTAGCATCTTAATTTTTATATTTTTAAAATTTATATTGAAAAATATTTAATATTTTTTTTCTCACATCGTTAACTCCGTTGTTGATGGAAATATCGTAAGATTTATCACTACTAAATATATCTCATTTTAGTTTACCACTAAATACGTATGTTATTTTCATCAATAGAATCGATGATGTAAGGAGAAACGAGATTAAATATTTTACTTTCGTAAGTATAAAGATTTCAATATAATTTTTAAAAATATATAGATCGTTACTCCGAAACCTGTTTTAATAAAAAAAACCAACCATACATCAAAATTACCTTTTTATTATTTTTAACGCTATTTTAATATTTTTAATCAATTGAATGCCTTTTTCTTTCCTTTTAACCATGAAAGTTCTGTTGTACCTATTAATATCATCTTAATCTGACTTACGATAGGGGCACTAAAATTGAATCTGATCCAAAATAAGTATTTAGAATTGTATTATCGAATCCAACTGATGAAGTTTAAGTGGACCCAATGGGTTGTCGTTATAATTGAATGATTGATTGATGATGGGGTAATTAGGTGTAGCATTTCAGCGGTTTGCTATCGACGGTTAAATTAGTTAAAATCTGCATCTGAGATATTCTCATTCTTATACGGACTAACAATGATGATAGAAAGGTGTACGTACGTGAATGAAAACTAATCAAACAAAATTCGAGCTTTAATGGTTTGATAAGTGTATCTTATACATCATGGAGATGTTTGATTAAATATGTGTATTGAAATATGAATCGAGTTAGTAATTAGCTATCGATAGGATGATACCATGTCGTTTGACTGATGAAGACTTTGTCAAACCATCATAATTTTGTGGGATCAAAATCCATCATTTATCATTTTTAAAAAATATTAATTATTTTTGTTAGGATAACTCCATTCCTTAAAAAGCCTTTTTATTTCAATACTCATGACTAAATTCATCTCAAATTCAACACGACTTGATCCTAAATTCTAGTCGCATTCTAAGTTATACTTCAATGGACTTTAAGTGAATTAGATCGGACTATGTTCCTCGGTACACATTATTGAATCCAATTTGACGACTATCGATGAGAATTGTGTTGCTTGTTGGATTTTACCTAATATTTGATTTTTGTTGAATATTTTTGAGATATTCTATCAATCATGCATATAGAGAAGATAATCGTGTAGCCAATTCATCGATCAATCATAGATCTTTTTTTTTTTTTCTGAAGGGATAAGTCGCTTTCTTAGTTTTTCATCTTTGATTCGCTCTAAACGACGACTTTTATACTCCTTTAATTTAAGCAATATTTGTTTTCCTTCCAAGCAAAGAAAGAAAGCAAGAAAGAAAAGGAGACTAACCAGTAATCATAATGTTTTCGTTGTTTTCAGCAGTGGCTAACCAGTAATTGACAGCCTGCATCACCTTTGGTTGTGTTGAGAGGATGCAACACACTTCTCCTCACCTCCTGAAAATTCAAGAGATTAGATTAGTTTAATGCCTATCAAATTCTCTAATATTACAAAGAAATCAATTTTTTTTCCTATTTCAACATCACAGAAAAATGATTTATCTCTAATTTTTAATGTCTACATCGATCATATGATTATGGGAAACCTGGCATTTTCAGAAAAAAAAAGAAAAGAAAAGAAAAGAACTCCAAAAGGTGCACCTTTTTCTTGATAGAACAAAGGATGCATACGTCGACAGTGATATGGGAAGCCATCATAGCTTTTAAGTCTAGTAGGTAGAAAAAACTGTGCGAGCAAGCAGAGTCCAACATCAATGCCTTGCCGAGCGGAGTTGCCATTTCCACAAGCATATGGTGTGCATCATCGCTGCTCAGGAAAATATCTCTAACCACCGGCTGAGATAGCAATCAGTGGCCTGATACAGACAATTCTATCAGTAGTTGGGGAGGTTCTGTCCCTCTGGAATTCCCCCGAGGCCAATGGAGCAGTGGATTCGAAGAGGGTAGAGGAATCAAGGGGGATCGCAGGCACATCGATGAACCCATCAAACAGTGGGCACCATCTTTCTATTCTACGTCACTTGGGTCACCAACTACCACCGCCCCAATCACGCTTTTCTCTGTGAGAGCTTTGTCAGTCCAGCGTTGGCAGCGGCATCTTCAGTGCAGGTGGGGGAGCTCAGTGGCACGGGATGGGGCCAGTGCTCGTAAAGCATTGGTGGGGATGAGGAGGAATACTTGGATGGAATTGCTTTGTCCTCTTTGGTTTCGGATAATGGCTGGAAGGATGTGATCTCCACCCATTTCCTCCAGGTCAAACTGGGCAGCAGGCGGCCATTTTGAACCCCCAGAGATCATGGCTGTGGTGGAGATGTTGCATGATTGGTGCTTTTGCTAGTGCTCCAACTCTGCATTAATATCTCAACAAGGACCAGATATGCAAATGGATGGAACCATGAGATTTATGTGCATAAAATTTTCTTCTCTTTTAACTTCTTTTTCCTCTTTATCTTATACTAAACTCTTATATTATTTTGCATAGGAGAAAAATTATTGTCCCATGGAATGAAATATGCATAGATTTTAATATTTTTTTTATTAAAAAGAAAGAATTATTTTTATATCATTTGAATGCCAATAAATTATGAGCCAAACTCTACAATCTTATCCAGAGAGCACAGACATCAATGATTAAATTACTACTGTTGGTCCACAAAAATAAGTCAAGTAATACCACGTGGCACAAACCATGACAATCACACCCTAACTAATCAAAAACCATGACAATTACCACTGTTGCTCAAAAGAAAAAAGAAATATCATTAATTCTTATACCCAGAAATAACTCCACATATGAATGCTTTATGTGACAAAAGGCCTCACATCAGATGCCAACGACAAGAACCTACCATTGGGCATCGCACACACACACACATGTCCCTTATCACTTCAGTCCTTCTTCTTCGTTGCGCAAGAACCACTTGGCATGCACAAATGCTAAGACTAGCTACTATTAGTGCCTTTCTTTACTCATCTAAGCTTCAGCTAATGCATTACAATACTAGGCTTAGTTAAGCTATGTGTTGTCCCTCTTCCAATGGCCTAATGCTATGACTGAATAATACAAGTGACTTGGGGATGTGTTTTGGCAGCTACAAGTTCCACTGGTGATGGCAACGGAGGGACCGTGGGGTGGCCTGTGATTTGGCCTCGCGAGGAGAGGACTGCTCCTGGCAAGGGTGGTGGTAAGGGAGGCTTATGGACAGGTCGAGGTTGAGGTCGAGGTAGCAGCCCTTGTGTCTGCCAGTGCTGCCGCTGCCGCCCTCCTCGTCGCCGGAGAAGTACTTCTCCGACGCTGTACTATCTTGAGCCGCGGACATGTCTCGTTGTTTCAGGGCAGCGAAAGGGCGGTCGACGTCGATCGGTCGGTGAGTCTTGGGGTCGAGGCCGCGGCTGAGGAGCTTCCTCTTGATGTGCGTGTTCCAGTAGTTCTTGATCTCGTTGTCGGTCCTCCCGGGCAATCGCCCTGCTATCAGAGACCATCTGAAACACACACACACACACACAGAGACACACAGACGCGCGCGCGAGCGACTGCTAGTGAGCTACGAGAAGGAATAATTTGCAAGTATGGGGATGTTTCTTTCCAAGGTAGACGATGGCATACTTGTTTCCGAGCAAGCCATGGAGCTTGATGATGAGGTCGTCTTCTTCGGCGGTAAAATTGCCACGCTTGAGATCGGGACGGAGGTAGTTTATCCACCTGAGCCGGCAGCTCTTGCCACATCTAAGCAAACCTTGCAGAGCGCAAGAATCCCCAGAGAGAAAAATAGCGTCAACAACCGGGAGCGACGTACGACGATAGCCGAACGAACCTTTCTTATAAGTACCTGCAGCTTTGGGGAGCGATCTCCAGCAGCCTTCGCCATGGGCTTTGATGTAGGAGATGAGCTTCTCGTCTTCCTCCTTGGTCCAAGCTCCCTTGTTCGTATGAGCCTTCTCACAGCATGGAGACCTGCCCATACTAGGACAAGGGAGGATGGGTGATTAACCTGTGCGAGGAGTGATTCGGAGAGGGAGAAGTGGGATGGGAGGAGAGGGAGAGAGAGAGAGAGAGAGAGAGGAGTGTGTGACTTATATGAGAGAGAGAGAGAGAGATGCAAATTATCCAAGTGAGCCAATTGAGACAAATCACTTGGCTGGACTTGGTAGGTAGGTCTACTTTTGAGTGAAAATTTGGTGTGTCATTAATATTATTTCATTTCTTGTTCTTCGCTTTTATGATTTAATTTCTCCCTCCTCCATATCTTCTTTTATCCATCTCAACCTACAGACAGTCCTCACGACCGACCACCTTTTAAGGTTTCTAGAAACCCTAACTCGTCATTTTCCTTTCTGATGTTGATGGAGAAGAGACACAGCGAGCAAAAACGAAATGTGTGTTCACATACGAGCGCTTGAGGTGTTGTTCTACTGTAACGATACTGCAGCACAAGTCATGGCTGAGGCAATACTGTCCTTTGGGAAATAATACGTAACTCTCCATCATTATTGTTTGATGATGATAGGATACCATACTTGGATACTCGAGCTTCCATCTTTACTTAATATAGACTAAATATTCAAGCTGTATACAAAATGGAGACTACTGATCAGATAATTTTAGGACAAGAAATCCATGAGGAAAACCTTGTTTAACTCATGGTGGTTGGATCATCGGACATGAACCTTCATCTCAAATCATATTTCCATGGTAGCTGTATTTAGTTGTTAGCGTATTTAGTTGCAGAGATTATTAGTCACACGGGATGGTTAACTCCCAGCTCTCTCTCTCTCTCTGTCTCTCTGTCTCTGTGTCTCCGGGGGGCTGTGGGGGACTGCAAGAAACAAATAGAGATGGCAAAAGGCTACCAACCCACCATGGCACAGTACAATGTGTTTATTACAATAAAGCTTGGGGGGGGTGATGGTGTTAGTTGCACCTACACGCTGTGATGGTTGGTCGTATGTTTTTGTGATGAGCTAGCTATGTGGTTCCATGGGGGTCCTCTTGTCCTCCTTCTCTAGATGCTTGTTTGTGTGATGAATGGAATGTGATAAGTGGGAGGCAGGCAGTCAAGAGTTACTTGATGATCACACACACCCTTCCTTTTCCACGAGTGACAAGCTGTGCTATTTAAGTTCTTCTAGTCCTTCATTAACAGTTGATTGATGGATGCATCACTGCATTTCCAACATCAGATATGCTATCAGCAATACAAGCATTACCTCCTCGTAGCATTTCCTACATAACCCCATCATTTCCAGCCAAACTTTTGTGATCTCCACCACCAACTTTCCAAGACTGGTCTTCTTTAGCCTGAAAGGTATTCACCAGCGACCATATGACCCAGAAACTAGTCAATACACGAGGGTGTAAGCGGACAAACAATTGTTCCTGCTACACATCTTGGTACAAGTTTCCTTCCATGCCTTCTGGAACAGCCAAGAACAAGCAGTAGATTTACTTCTCTAAAGGACAGTTGCTGAGCTTTCTAAACGATTTATGGTCAAAAGAATGAGCCATTTTGCCAGTGAACGAGTGTGACACTTTGACAGACTCGTTGAACGCTGGACATTGTTTCCCCAGCGGAAAAGAATCAAACAATTAGTAGGCAAAAAAAGGTCAACAGAAGCCACTCACGAGGTGTGGTTGGAAGATAAGAGTAGAATAAACCGTAGTACCGAACCTTGGTAAGTGGACTACAGCAGGCTGTGAAGACAAAGCCAAGCAGACGACCCAGTTTTTCCCTCGGATGTTTTGAGTTTCCACAGCATGCACAGACCACCGTCTTCGCTTCAGATTCTAAATTCACATAATAAAAACGGCACCACCATGCAATCAGTTCGTCACTCACTGTTTCCTTGAAGCATTCATTACTTGTGGTGGCGACAGGGTCGAGTGCCACCATGAGGCAGATTTTGACTTGGCAGGCTTCCACCAAAATCGGATGGCAATGCAAGAAAGTCCATTGTATGCTTGCCTCGACATGTATATCCAGCATACTGCTAAATGCTACTGTTGTTTGTCATGTACAAGTTACCAATACTTGGGAGGATCAGGAGGAAGGTACTGAGGAGATCCCAGGGTCAATTTTCTGCTCATCTTTTTTCACATCCTTGAAAATTACCCAGAAACCAAATTTGTTGTTCAAAACGCTAGTGTTGTAGATTCACGTAAAAGGAAAAAAGAAAAAATAAACACTAGTGCTAATATCAACACTAATGTTGTTGTTCAAAACGATATAGCACAACATAGTAAACAATATAGAACAACATAGCATCTGCATCAAAGGCCAGAAACTTGCTCGTGCCCAGCCAACATTTGCACTCATTCTTCCTCCTCTGTCTCCTCATCATCCCCATTTGCCTGATACCTCCACCCATCCTCTTCGGCATTGTCCCGATCTTCTTCTTCTGTTTCCTCACTATCTTCCTCGTACATCTCTTTGCTCGCCCATTGCTTCTTGACAGCAGGCATATTTGTAGGAACCAAATTTCCTTTCCGGTTTGTGATTTTAGCACGTGGCATCTGCGGTGCCACATTGGGCTTGCTTCGTTTTGAGTTCTTGCCGATGCCACCTTTTGTGATGTACACTTCCTGATCACTGGCTTCCTCCAAACCATGGCCAACAACTGGAGCAGGTTTACCATTTTCTTCGGAATTATGGCCAGGATGTTCCTTTCTCAGATGGAGGTTCAATTTGTACTCATGAATGTAAGCTTTCTCACAACCTTCATATGGACAGGCATATGGGCGCTCAGCAGAAGCAGAACCATAAGCAGCTGCGGTTGCCTTGGAAGTATGTGGCTTCTCTACCGGCGTAGCATGCTTCACCATATCAACCATTGTACTCTGTAGAGTTTAAGAAACATTCAAGCCTTAGAATAGAGCCTTTGGTGACCAAGCATAACAGATTTTGCAAGCAGCATCAATTATTAAATGTTCAATTTGACCATCTTTGACTTGTAATTTAGAAATAATGTTTTGCAAGTGGATATAAAATATCTCAAATGTATTGTAATATGAAACTCGATGGGCCTTGTCTCACTGATATCTTGGACAAGTGTCAGGGGTAATGGAAATGGCATCTGAGTGGCCTGATCAGGGATAAGTAAAATGCAGTGACATGTATACTTGGAGACTTGGATCAACTTGTAAATCATTAGCAATGATATGTTTGCTCAAATCTACTTGTGCGCTAAAGCTTGGATTATCCTCAATTTTTGCAACTTTATTTCACATGGAACTCAAGTCTCACCTTTCCAACTTTGTGTTTTCTAATTATTACATGTAACTTTATTTTCCTTTGAAGTGTTGGGGTACTACTTTTACAATTCATGCCTTACTAGTAATGCTTGGCCCAGTGCACGCACGAGACTCACACCATCAGCAAGTTTTAGGTCTCTCTACTCCACAAACATGGCTCAAAATATTAACAGATCAATAATTTAACACCGGCCGTTAAGGTCATACTTCAGAATTATGACAGTTGTGGCCGGCCGTTAAGATCAACAAAGTAACTCTTTCATAATTATGACAGTTGTGCTGAACTAGCTTAGACACAAAATATTAACAAACTGCAACAGATCAATGCGCCAAAGAGAAGTACTTAAAAGAGTAAAAACTTAGACTTGTTTGTCTAAGCTCCAAAGATGATCATAGAAAAACGAAAGCCCCATAAAATGCTAATCATAGAAACTAAGGACTTGTCAAAAGATAAAACCATATAAAGACTCATGTATATAATAATTTAAGACATTATAAGCACCAGAATACGAAGCACAAGAATAAAATTCAAAGTTAGCTAGAAATGACTACCTTTTCATGATGTGTCTTTACATGGGTTCTTAGCTTGCTCTCATTTATATATCTCTTCCCGCATTCTGGGTAAGGACAAACATGATAATTATCCTGCGAATGTGTTTTCATATGTGCCCTTAAGTTAAAATCCAATGAGAAGGCCTGAAATTCAAATAATTGCAAGTCATCACTCACTAGAAAATTAGCATGACGATTATAAAACCGACAAGGCAACAAATAGTATAACAGAGAAGTAGTACATGTAAGAACCAGCAAGTGCACAACCATGTTTAAAAGATGAAAACTTCATATTGATGGCATAAATTTACTGACAGAGGATAGGATAATCACCTTACCACAGCCTTCATAAGGACATATGAAATCTCTTTCACCTGTATGAATAAGATAATGCCTCTTCAACTTTGAACTGTCTAAAAATTTCTGCAATATACAGGGTAACCTTAGAAAGGAGAGAAACATGATGGGCGAGGGCATTGATACACATAACACATGAATACTCCTGATACATGAACCTAACTGATTGATTGTAAAGGAAACTAATGACAAGTGTGCTACAAGTGAATGAACATGCTAGTAACAACTAACAGAAGATAAAATAAAATGCATTGTGAATCCCATATCTATGGAGGATAAGATGGCTTATATAATTTTTGACCACCTGTGCAATCTATCTAGACAAATTTGACATAAGCCAAACAAAAATATCTAATACCTATTTATGACATCATTGGGAATTTAGTTCTTAAGCTACTGGAAGTCAGATAATAACATCGTTAACAGCTGGTGACCAGTTAACCGAGACTCAGATATTCAACGGGATACGGTTGAGAGATAACAAGAACATTGTTAAGAGCAACTGTTTATTCAGATTTAAAAAGTCAACAAGATAAGGTTGACAACAGAAACTTCTGGGGTTGCAGATCATGAAACATTGTAAGGTGTGCAAAGTAAAATGTTATTAACAATGAGGTATATCACCTTCCCACATCCTTCATATTGACAAACATGTTGCTTCTCTCCATGGATGTGAGCATGTTTCTTCAAAGCCCCTGCATCGATGAAAGTTTTTCCACAACCCTCGTAGCTGCAGAGAAAAAGAACTTCTGTAGCTGGTTCAGGTTTCTGATCTTCTGATTCTGTTTCCTTAGACTTCTCTTTCAGGGCTTTTAACTTGTCCTCTAATTAAAACATGATAAATGCCCAATTACATAATGGTCGGATAACATGAAAGGTGAGCATTAGAAAAAATCATGCAATATTATATTATCAAAGTTAAGAAACTGCATTCTCTTTAGATTATGCATTGAAATAAGGAAAAACTATCCTTATAGCCATATATTAAGATAACGGACTTGCAACGATAGACTAAAAGACAATGCAGATAAAACTCAACACTCCTGCCATATAACACTTTAACTCGTTTCTTGGCACATCTTATATGTTCAGACCATTGAACTATCAACACCATGTATTACAGTAAGCAAGCAAAAAGGATTCAAGAAAAGGTTCATTTGACATAATATATTTTACATGATCATGAACTGTTCTTGATCAAATAAACATGGATCAAACGAAAGAACATCTCAAACAGAAGAAGCTACAACTGTTACGTGAACACAAATTCAAGATACGTAGTAAAAGAATGGTGCATCAGAAAAAGAAACAGGAAAGATCTCAAGACTCCTGCTTCCAAAGTCAAATCACCAACAGTAACGGAGACGTACCAGTAACCCACTTCAGAAGGAGGCACTTCCCTCCCGTCGCAACCACGTCCTGCGGAACCCTGAATCAAGAACCGAAGAAAGCGAATCGACGGCCAAAATCAGTCACGTCATCTCATAATTGTTCCCGCCTCAAGCCAATAAGAAGAGCGTAGCCCTAACTCGGGCCACCCGAGTGCACGCAACAACAAGAAACCCATTCTAAAGCCGAATCAAGACAAACAAAGCACGAGATCGTCAAAGAGGGGAACGGGGGGCCGCGGGCGCACCATTCCTTGAACCATCGGACGGCAGTGGTCCGGCGATCCCTCGCAGCGGGCCGCTTCTCCGCCGCGGGGTAGTGATCCATCGGGAACTCCATCCCCTGGACAGTCACCAATGGGAGATCGAATAAAAATAAAGCATGGAAGAGGAGGAAGCGGGAGAGAGGGAGAAGAGCCAATCCGAGGAGGAACAGCAGAGTCTCTTCTCCCACTGGCCGGAAAAATAGCTCCCTCCGAAGGTAACACTACTAGTGATCTCGCGATTGAAGATGTCGCTCGCTAGTCACAGTTGGAATTGTCTGATGACGTGGCAATTGACCATTGGCAGAGATCAGTGAGTCCCGCAAGTGGCTCCCACAAGGGGGTCCACCTCACGTATGTTATTGCTATACGCTTGCCTATGTGACTATATCATGCACATTATGGGCAGCTATGTTGAGCATGTCATAAGTGGGGGAGGAATTAGGGTTCAATTCGCATGCAATTAGATAATATATGTTGATCGAATTGGACCAGTGTTTGGGTCTGATCGAATTGAATCACATGTTCCATGTTACATGCAAATGACATTTAATTGATTCGCTTACCGTATATGTCACCTCAGCAATCACCACAATCCATCCAACTACAAAAGTATATGACATGAACTAATAATTAGATAACAATGGGCAGAAGCTCAAAATACCCCCAAAAACACAAATTGTAGACAGGCTTAAATGACTAGAGCTTGTAATAAGAGCTTAGAAAGAAAACCCAAATCTTAGGCTATTCTTTTGGTGCAGAAACAACAAACATTAGAGAGCTTTTCTCTTTTACATACAAACTGAAAAAAGAATGAACGAATAACAATTACAATTGATGGAGTGACATTGCAAGACAATTTGCAAGGATGTCGAAGAAATTAGACTTGTTCTTCTCAGTTAGCCTGACCTAGTTTGACAAACAATTTACAGTGTCGATAAACTTACGCTTCTGCTTGTTGACACATGCAATCAGGCATCGGAAAAGAGTACAAGGATGCATCACGTTTTCGCAAACCGACACCCTTCAAGTCGCTATGACGGAAAATTTCCTGCATGTGATGCTTGAATCTGTCCCATCTACAATTGAAAACCACAAACTGGATAGCATAATTTCCAGGCTGATTGAAATGTAAAGATCATCGATTGCTGATTATGGTTGTTGTTCAGATAAACATACTGCTTCGATAACCTCTACACAACACTCTGGTTCTCTTAAAGATGATTGTTATCAAACAATTGTCCCAAGAGTGATGAGAATTTACCTAATATTTGGGTTGTCAAAGGATAACACCAACTTTCTCTTGTCAGGTTTAATTGTCTTAGAGTGTCCATTGAAGTATCGCCTATGTCCCATTAAAAAGTGAGGGAAGTTTCCTCCTTGAGTTGTGACGAATACTTCACTGTTAGCACAAACAGTGTAATCCAATGCTGCCAACCGTGATGAGTGTCCCTGTGGGAGGTAAAGAACTAAGAATTCATTACTAAGATGAAGTTCAAGTCCTTTCAGGAAAGCAAACCATCAAATAACAAACAGTCTAGCAAGATGAAGATTTAGTCTCATGCAAGTCATAGTTCAAAGAACTGGTCGATCGAACTAGAGATTTTAGCAACAAGAGATTTTCTCTGGCATAGTAATCTAGAATAATACAGTTAAGAGTAGGAGAAGTGATTCTTATTCTACAACTCTCAAGTTAAATGGACACTGAAATTCTGTTAATGTCCCAAGAAATATTGCAAAGTCATAGAGGAAATATGGATAATACAACAAAAATAAGAAAGATATAATTGCTGTTTCTGGATTTGAGATTTTTTTTAAAAAATTCTGAACAAGAAAAATACCTTAAAAGGTGCAAGTTCATCTGCTGAGGCTAGAGTTTCCTTGGTCTCTAAAAGGGGAAACAGCTGACGAAGTGGAGCCATGTACTTTTGTGCATTATATATCTTTCCAGAGGCGACATAGATTGTTGTGGTCTTACCAAAACCCATGCCTCGAATCATCATTCCCACCTGCAAAAACAAATTGTTTGTTTGTAGTCCAGTAATTAATTTTATAGATATCAAGAAATCAGATAAGAATACAAAAAGTAACCCTTAATGAAGGCATACTTAAACTATGACCTATCTTTCAAGATGGCACGGCACGTCAAAACACAACCAGAACATAAGACACTGGGTCTGTATCACATAACCTTTCTCTAGCACTTGCATTTACATGTGGGAGAACAACCGCAAGGATTTTAACTATGAAAAGACCTCCCACATAGCAATGTCAACAACTCAAACTCATAATATCCAATGAATTAAAAGCAAAACCCCTCGAAAGTATATTTTCTGCTTCAAGTTAGATTGATTATATGTTATTACTTTATCCATCAAAATTAGGCATATAAACCTTAATAGTAATGAATATCCATAATGGAAGCAAAATTTTCAAATTTACAGAAATTTTTAATTTCTTATAGTAAGGTTGCATAGAAGAAAGGATCTTGATTTTATAGTACAGTTAAACGCTCCAGGTCAACCTAACAAGATGTACACTCAAGAGATTGGATATAAATAATAACCTAAAACTTCATCCAGGAAAAGATACCGATTTACATAAAGCAAATCTCTACTAGTAGAAGCTTACTGCAAAAGCAACAAACAATAAATTCCTAGAATAAGAATCAGCCAAACATACAACGAACTGAAATTTATGAAATGTATCCTGATCACAGGCATATCACTTTGTAGTCTCACTAAGATCAAGTTGTTGTGGAACCTCTAATGGCGTTAAAGGGCATTTTCCATTCCTTCTGTTAGCCTCTGGGCTTATTACTCGACCAGGCTTGTTGAACTTTCCTCTCCAGCCCCTTTCACGAGCTTTATCCATTTCAGTTTTCTCTTGCTGACCACCATCATAAGTACAGCAAGAAAAGGCTACCATATCCTGGAATATAAAAGACCACATATTTTTACACCTTTGTGGTGAAAAAATATGAACAATTCAAATGCATTACAGGACTTATAAGCACCTTTTCAAACCGAAGATGCACTGAGATGTACTTCCCTCCATTTGATGAGCTGTTCTTTACCATTCTATCAACCATTCTTTCTGCAAGAGTTCTTATTGGTGGAGAAAAGCGCAATGCTTCATAATTTGTCAAACATCTCAGGCGCTGGATGCTGGATGGAACTGAATGAGCCAACCTGTAAGAGAAAGGTGCTATACGTACGGCCCTGCACAGCATACACAAAGGGATGCCAAATCATAAAACGTGGAACAATGTTCCAACATCTAAATCAGAAGAAACGACATGAAGTTGAATGCCGAGCCATGCTGGTACACTGTTAGCACGATGTTCCCAATTGCTTGCATTAAAAAATTATTTTTTACAAAATTAATATACGCAAGTTTGAAACAAAGATGAAAATCTAAATCTTGAAACTATTTGTGCTTTATTTCAAATCAAGCAACCATATTAAAGAATATTGTTTGTAGAACTACATGATTTAGGCTTGTTATTGGCCCAGCAAAAAATTATGGTTGTTGATGCTTGTCTAATTTTGTAATGATCCAAGCATGACAATAAATAGGATTAGGGTTGAGACATGCGAGTTCAAACTAGTTAGGCTAGACCAAGATTGGCTCCATAACACCATACACGAAACAACCATTCATTAAATTGATCAAGAAAAAACTACCCAAACTAGTATTAATACTGAACATAATTTGTAAAATTTTGTCAAAGGATAACAGCTAATCACAAATTTTGATAAGATCTAGAACTTACATAGATTACATCCTTTGCAAAGAACTTATCATAAAATGCTACTATAAAGTCGATGCATCACGATGATAACAATCTTAGGAGATAAACAAAACCAGGCAACAAAGTACAAATATAGAGTCTACAGGAAAAGCACATACCCATTTTCTAATAGTTTTGGCAGAACCTTCTGTAGATAGTAAGCCTTCGATGACAAGGCCTTAGTTCTCATATTAAGAATATTGCTGATATTATTGTCAAATCGCTGCAATATATCCAGTGGAAGTTCTTTGACCACTCTTACATGATTTTTGAGTGTCTCTATAAAGTATTCTTCATCAAATATGTCCTTAAACTGGCTGAAAGTGTTCAGACAAATAAAAGAAAAACAAGTGCCATTAATTATTATCAATTTACAGGAAGAAAAAACATGGAACTATGGTCATATTCAACTTGACATTGCAAAAGAAATATCTGAAAATAAATGATAAAAGCTTCAAAGACAAACACTATAAGAATTCAATACACAGAGAAATAACAGACTCATGAATAAGCTCGCACCAATGTGGTGTTTAGGGAGGTTATTTTCGTGTCTTAAAGCTCACCATAGAATCTAATAGAATGAATTTAAGCAAAAGAAGCTTATTGTTGCTCTTATAAGATTTTACCCATATAGATCAATGCATATAGAACAAAGATAGATCATTTGCAAATAATTACAATAATGTGACAAATTGCAATGTTGCACTTCAAAGAGAGTAGCATCAACCAGCCCTTTTGTCAAAGAAGAAGAAAATAAATGAATAGAAAAGATCATTTTCAAATTCAGTGTCAGTGAAATATTAAAACCAAAATTTTGGGTTGTTCTAAATAATGGGGTCACATTGCTATCTCCTCAAACTCGATTATAAAGGCTCTAGTCCAACTGCTAGATTTGCTGAACATGATAAATGACATCCAAATTATCAGGAAATAAGAATTCTTGAGATCTTGATGTATTTAGCATGTTCATGAAATTATTGTGAAATGGAGTAAAACAGCATTCACATATCAAACTATAATTCAAAATGTGTTAGTTAATTATCAAAATGGTTGACGTTTATTTAAAAAAATATATATATAAATACATATTTTTTATACTTCTCTGTTATTGAACAAATAAATAAATATATATATATATCACTAAAGTTGTTTGTTTTTCTCTTAATTTGATGTATATGTCAGGTTTCTTTAACAATCATGATTTTCATTTTTAGAATTTTAAAATCACACATAATGTTTAATGGAGTGGATCTTCAACTTGGAGCCCATGATTGATTTTGAGATGATAGACAACAAAGCATCAGGCCTCCTGATAGAATTATAGCTCAAAGCTTTTCTTATAGGTTCACATATGAAACAAGATAAAGAACTTTCAGCAAAAAAGGATTATATAAATAATTTGAGAATTATACAAACCCAACTTAATTTTGCTACCTTGTGAGGATAGGGAGAACCCACAAGGAATGATAAAACTGGTCTTATTGTTGCTAAAGATCTAAGCAGTGCAAGGCAAATTCTCGTGTTTTCAGAACAATGAGTGCTACCAATATCATTAAATGGTTTTCCCTAGTCCAATTATGATACCCAAGGAACACAAACAAAAGCTAACAAAAATTAACTGCATATGAATATTATGGATATATAACACAATATAAACAACATGCTTGATCACAACTGTTTATGGTTAATCCTTTCTATCTAAAGACCGTTTGTTCAAAGAATGCTGCATATTTATACCTAGGTACTAAACCAAAATATTGCTTGAGAAGGCACTAGAAATTGTTTCTTATGTCAGCATACACTTGGCAAATTGTGCAAGTTACCAATTTTTTTTATCTAAGCCAACTAGAAGTCTAATTGACATAAAAGAAAATATGAAACTCTGGAAACAGCATGAAATATTTAGCATCATAAGATGGCAGAAACCAAGCTGCCATAACTACTATGACAGGCTAGATAATATTAAATAATCATCAAGATGACATAATACTGAATGTTTTTAACATCTAAAATTTCATACGTTTTATCCTTGTACTCACCCACTAAAAAGAAAGTTGCTGGAAGATTCTCAGGCTGCCAATTTACACAGAAATTATACTCATGAATTCTAATATAAATTATTATAGACAAAAATAAAATAACAAAACATAAATTATGAAGCTGGAATAGCTCAGTTGGTTAGAGCGTGTGGCTGTTAACCACAAGGTCGGAGGTTCAAGCCCTCCTTCTAGCGTAATATATTTTTTCTCGATTGTGATAAAACATTTTATGGCAACTTTATCACCTTGAATCGCGCCAAACACTGTTGAAATGAAATATTGGAATTACAAGTGTTGCATTTAGTATGCCTGCCACAGCAACCGCATCAGATATCTGTATCATGGAGTGTTCAGAAAACGTTACATAATGAACATACATGTGTGCTAATTACTTAAGAAAAATAAAGTGAGAGGGAAAGAGAGAGAGATCAGTAAAGGCATCAAGTAGTTGTATGGCCAAATCTTAAGCTACACAGGAGAATATTGGATGTGTATTTGTTCCAAATATCTTACCACTGATCTGCATGCATCAGTGGTACTGCACTAGGCATGGAACTTATCTACATTTTGAAACAACAGCATGCACTAGGCATGTTTGTCCGATGTGTTAGAGCAAACATGTCAATAACATGCATTCAGTAATAAGAGTAAGGCAACAGATAGGCTGATGACTATGAATGGCCATCACATGGACGAAGATATCTAAAGGCAATGCAGTAACAAGTTGGATACCGATAAAAGTTGCTCAGACTTCTGGCACAATCTAGCATATCTCATTTCATGACAATTTTTTGGTACATAATGACATATGGATGAACCAGGCAAGGGCTCCAAATGCTCTTGCAATGGAGGTTTTTACTTCAAGAACCATGTTTGTGTCACTGGATACAAATATTTTCTTAACAGGGGATAATTAAAATGTATTTGTTTTCAAGCTACAAGCTTCCAAAGACAAAACTATTTTACATTGTAACTTACAGATAAACGCTGCTGATTCAGACCTCCGTTTGCTTCAATTATGAGAAAACCATTTGAAGGAGACAATTCTAAGATGAAATATAAGCAATTAATATGTAGGGAACAAATCTACAACTTAAAATATTATCAGCATGTTTGCAAACTTGATTAAGACAGGGATTACAAGTTGTCTTGAAATTCATTTTGTAGATCAATCATTTTTTTTTCTGAAAAAAATTTGAAGCCCTAACCTGCCCGTAATAATCTCTTCCTTAAACAAGGTTTCCACCTTTGAGTTGTTTTCTGATGCCACGCCATCATCAACTGCATGATTATACACCAAATTATCACAACATAATACAGGGAGCATAAGAGCAGAACTATAGACACAATCTTAAAACAAATTAATTAGATGCATTCAAAATGCACCAGAGAGAAAAATAAACCTTAACGCATTGCCAAAAAAGATTAGAACAGATTTTTTATCAATTTTTTAAGTGTTCAAGCAAACATTCAGGGTAATATTTCCATAGGTCCTATCAAGTAATATCGAACTGCAGTTAAAGCCAAATAGTATCAGTTATGCAAAACAATGAATTATCTGGGATCCCATAAGAAACTAAGCAAAAAAGTTGTTGAAAATCATAAGATGTTTAGGTATCTAACCTTTCTTCTATTGTGTTAGCTTTAACTAGTATTATTTAAGACCCCATTGGAAAGGTTCTAACAGCAGTTTCACAAAATAAAATACAATTTCTTCTCTTGTCCTTTTTTTCTTTTATTTATGTCTAAGATTCTTGTCTTTTGATAGCATCCCAAGCCTTTAGGGTAACTGATAGACTTATTTGGTGGCCCCAAACTAAGTGATTTGTGCTCCATTTTCAGTTAGAATTCCTACTAATTTTGAGAGCCAAAGAAACTTATAATGGATTGGAAGCAGAAACTATGATGCGATACCTTTGTTGCTTGCAGCCCTCTAACTTCACTAAAATAAAACATGCTACCTTCAAGCCTGCTGAATTTCTCTGACTATACTTCAATGTTATTCTTTCAACGAAAGATTTTCCTTAAAACAGTACATTTTCCACTAAACACCAAATGCAAGAAATGCATGTAAATGATTGTTATGACATTCTGGAACTAATTAGTCTACACCCAAAAGGATTTCTACAATCATTTTTCGTCATAGAAAAATATAGAATTTTAAACAATCCTTAATTGCTTTAATCAGTGTAATTGTGCTTTACCTATTCTTGAATGAAGAAACAACAAAGGTAAACCTTGGCAACGACATTGCCGAAAACAGAGGAAATCAGACGAGAAACAACCAAAGAAACGGACATTAGGTAACTACCGCATTGGAGTGGTTGAAGTCCGACTGCATGAAAGGCCATAGCTTCCGGAATACCTGCGGGCTTCGGTACACCGACCCGGGTGGCGGCGCCCTCTTGAGGATGGCAACACCGACCCGGGCCGGCATGGCCTCAAGGTTCCACCACCCGACGAGCACCAGCATCAGGGCCACGTAAACGAGCGGGACCAGCAGCAGGGCCACTCTCCACCGTAACGCCGCGGCAGCCGCACCATGCACGACCCTCCCGACAATCGGGGAGGTCCCGCCCTTCCCGGTCCCCCCGCCGCCCTCGTTGACGAGCCAGCTCCGACCGCGCATTGTTCGTCAGCGCCGGCACCTCCCAGATCTGACGACGGCTCCCTCCTTGGGGATCATTCCACCGCCAGAAGGGCGAATTTAAGGATGATATGAAGCGAATTAATTCGAAGGGCAGAGTGGGGCTTCGATGCCTGTCATCGGAACTCGAATCGAGGTAAAGAACTGAGAGACACGGGGCTCTGAAGGGGCGCCCTCGGAAGGCATGCGAAGCTTCAAATATAACTAAAGAAAGGAAGAGGCTTTATGGTGAGGGTGGGGTCTTCCTTCATTCCTCATCCTATTTCTTTCTCACTATCTATCTTTATTTTTGGACTAATTAATTTGAGTAAGAAACATATAAATATATTTAGTACTTCGAATAATCTTCATGTTTTTAGCATCGCAATGTAAATTATAGTTTTAACTAATAGTTAAACTTTTTAGATTATGAAGATATATATATATATATAATTTTTCTTATTAATATGATGTAAAAGTTTTTAGTCTCATTCAAAATGAATATATACATGGAGAATATTCATTCTATCAAGTGTATCTTTGAATAACTAAGTATTTTATTGACCGATAAGAGTAAATACTAAATTAATAAAAGATATATTAAAAAAAGATATGATGATAAAAAAAAATTTAAAAATTTATTGGACTACATGATAATAAATTTATGAATGGGGATCAAGATCATTATAATTTTTTTGTTTATAAAAATATTCTATCTCTTAGACGTCGTAGAGAATTAAGAATTCTAATTTGTTTCAACTATCGTAATTATGATATTATGAATAGAAATATGGTATTTTGTAATGAAAACAACATAAGAAACTCTAAATAAATTTTGAACCAGGACAAACATCTTAATACGGATTTAAATTAATTAATTAATTAAGTTTTGATTGGTCAAAAATAATAATAATATATATGATTAAAAAAATAAAATTATTTTAATTTTGTAAGGATATGAAAAAAAATATATTTTTGTTACAGATTGTATTTCCAATGAATCATATGGACATGATAAATCAACCTTCAGAAAGTTGATAGAAACCTTTCATGCAGGAGCACAACCACCGGTAGGTTGGAATCAGACAACCGAGGCTGAGTGATTTGGACATGCAGAATGAACTTTGATCATGTGAAGTATATGTTATGATCATTGGTGTATGATTTGAGATCATTTAATGGTTCTCGTGCCATTGGCTACTATTATTCTCTGTCAACAAAGTAGAATGGAAGGGTACAGTGCCTGTGCATCACGTACTTGCACTTACAGCAGCAAACATGTCTTCCACCTTCGACTCTTCTGCTGCATCATCTCGCATGAGGTGGTGCGACTTCTTCTCTTCGGGAGTTCATGCACCCAAAAAAGCTGTTCTCAGCTTCTCCAAGCTTGTCCTAAAACGTACACACTGTCTCCGTCCGTGGAAATCCCATCTCCGTCCGTGGAGGCAACAGCAGAACCGGACGTGAAGCAGAAGCTTGTCTGCTGCTTGTCCTCTGCCGACAACAATCGTCTTCTTGCTCAGAAGCTCATCAAAAACACTTGCATTGTCTGTATCTATCAATCAGAGCTTGTTTTTGACGTTTCTTTTCCTTCGATCAGTTTTGTTACTCATTATCTTTAACGATATCAGTAATATTAATTTTGCTACAAAGCTCAGTATGTAATTATCATATCATCGGAAGATGATTAAGAAGAACTTCATGAGGTCGGATTCTCTCATTCTTTTTTCCATATTTTATTTTTATTTTGGTAGCCTGACCTAATATCAAAAGAATTATGTTGGGAGCCTTAGTCGACACCATCGTTGGTTTTCACATATGATGGGTGCCTCAAAATCTACATATTTTCTCAGCATCAATCTTCAGACAGCATAGATATTTCGATCAAAATATTAGGTGGGATTAGAGTTGCTCGCACGGATCATGCTGAGCAATACAAAGCCAAAGACCGACGTGCGACCATATCGATTAGTGTTCTTTTTCTCGTGGATTGTGTGCTATTATTCGCATGACAATATGAGTTCATGAAATCTGACTGTGATTTGAAAATAAAGGGGAAGAATGGTAGCTGCTGATGACGCTTACGTCTTTTTCTTTCTTTTTTTTCTTTCAATATTCCGATTTAATTTCACATTAAAATGAACAAAAATTCAAGTTCAATTTTAAACATTTTAAATCAGTTTAGCATAGTATATATATATATATATATATATATATATATATATATATATATATATATATATATATATATATATATATATATATAATATTTTGAAACATATTTTCACATAAATGTTAAACTTAAATTTACAAAGAGAAGCAAAAAAAAAAAAAAAACACTTAGTTGAGTCATATTTATGCAATTTTGCACACAAAAATATCAAATAGTATGTAAATGATATGCACAATTTTATGGGTGCGTTTAGAATGCATGTGAAATATGTATTAAGGGTCCAATGAATATTTTAAATATAAATTGATATTTGATAATTTTTTTCAAGTCATATTTGACTTAGATGATACATTGAAAATACTTAAATACCAGTTCTACTTGATAGCATTAGCATTTTAGTATTTTATAATATTTTTAATATTTATAAAATGTTAATGTGATATTTTAAAATTATCTAAAAGTATAAGATTGTCAAGTGTATAAAAAGCATTAACATTTTAATATTTGGATGATACTAATATAATCTTTAAAATTTCAAAGTATCCTATAACTTTATTTAAAATTATAAGATTGTTAAAATGATTTAGTGAAAAACCAGTATGATCTATATTTTCTATAAGATGAATTTTTATTTTTATTTTATTTTTTTTTTAAAAATATATTTAATTATAAGATTATATTTTATATTTATTATATATTTGGGCCATACAAAATGTATTCACTTTTATTTAGTTAAAAATGTATTCACTTTTGAATCAATTTTAAAAATACTAGAAGGATGAATATACCATACAAATATTTAATAACTTTTAAAATATAAATATGCCAAAATAATATTTATTTTAATATATATTTAAAATATAGTTTCATCTATTATCTATTAAGCATTTAGGACATTTCACAACTGTACGTTGACTAAAATTTTTTCTTCTAATTATGTATTAAATCTATCTCCATAACTTGAGATTTTTTTTTATTTTTTGCAATGGATAAATGATGAAATCGAGATTTAATAATCTTAAAATAGGATTATATCTTTGAAAATTATCATGGACTATATCATTATTTTAGATATTAAGTAAAAATGCCTAATTATTTTCATGTCGGTTAAGCAATTGGCAACCACGGAGGGATATGCCTACATGTCATATCGTATATTCAACAAATTCAATTCTAAAAATATCATATCTTATTCATACCCGCGACCGTTCTTCTAATGTTTAGGTGGGACCCACGCCTTTCCCTCACGTCTCTGGCCAGTGTCTTTTGGGTTCGTTGACTCTGCCCCAAGGACCACTGCGACTCTATTCAACATGGGATATCCAAAATTTGGACGGTCCGGATCAACCGACGGCACGATTCCAACCCCATCACACCGTCCCTTTAGTAATTATTTATCTTATTTTTCCTCCCCCCCTCTCTTCCATCCCAATTCCGGTCTCCCTTTCCCTCTTTCCTCTCCTCGAAACCGCCGTCGCGATTGCAGAAGAGATCAAGGGAGAAGGACGCAGGAGAGAAGGAGCACCTCGTCGCTTCACTCTCTCCCGCATCGGAAACCCTGACCGTGATCCAGTCTCTCGTTTTGTCTCCGATTTCCGTCGATCAAGGGGTAAAATAAGATTGTAGGAATGGTTATTCGGCCGCCATTGAAGTGATCGAGGGTTTAATTCGTCGATCATGTCCTCCTCGTCGGCCGCCGTCAACTCTCAGTCGCCGAGTCTCAAGACCTATTTTAAGACTCCCGAGGGCCGATACAAGCTCCAGTACGAGAAGACCCACCCAGCCGCCGTCCTACACTACTCGCATGGCAAGGCCGTCTCCCAGGTACTGCTTGTTTGCATAGGGTTTCGAGCTTGTTCATCCCGTGTTTGTATCGATCAATCGTGAAAAGTTGGTTTTTGTTAGTTGACGATCGCCTATCTGAAGGAGAGGCCCACGACCCAGGCTTCGGCCACGCCGTCGATTCCGAGCGCTGGTGGAGTGAGGTCAGCAGCAGCTAGGTTGCTCGGTGCAGGAAATGGAAGCCGGGCGCTCAGTTTTGTTGGTGGTAATGGGGTGAGTCGGCCGGTGTCGGGGAGCAGCAGGATCGGAGGGTCTGCGGGAGCCTCAACGGGATCGGGCAGTTCGCTGCCGGTGGCCAATTTTGACGACAAAGGGACTTATCTTATATTCAACTCGGCCGACACTCTTTTCATCAGTGATCTCAATTCGCAGGACAAGGTTTTTCATCTAGTGGTTCAGATTTGCTTCACGTGGGTTGTATTTTATCTCACGACCGAATCCGTTATAGGATCCTATCAAGTCCATACATTTCAGCAACTCGAACCCAGTTTGCCATGCCTTTGATTCAGAGGCGAAGGGTGGGCATGATTTGCTCATTGGTCTGCACACTGGAGACGGTCAGCTTAGATACCTATCAGTTACAATTAACTTATCATCTATCATTTGCTTGTTAGAATGATGGATCATTGTTCAGCCAACTTACATTTACGTGCATGGTTTTCTAGTCTATTCAGTGTCTTTGAGGCAACAACTACAGGATCCAGGGAGGAAGCTTGTTGCTGCTCACCACTACAACAAAGATGGCAGTATTAATAATAGGCACGTATGGCTCACTGAACCACAATTGAAATGCTCAACTATTGTAACTGACCACATTCTGATATTGTATTCGATGCCCTTCTATAAACTAATAACTAGTTTTCACACACCAGTTTTTATTGTATGTTGCTTTTTATTTTACATGAGATGATGTGGAACATGCATGCCTGCTTTTTTTATGGCCCATGGTGTGTCATACAGCAGCAACTTAGCAACTAAATAACTTAATCGGCTTTTCAAAATTGTTAGATCAGTTTCTTTCAAACTAAAATGAAATTCTTACTACTTTCTTGAGGTGGTAAGTAAGCTTCATATTTAGGCCAAAAAAAAGCCATGAATTGTAAAATTTATCAGTATTGGTTTCTGCAAAATACTGATTATATTATACCTTAGTTTATTTAGTAGTTGACTCTTCGGATTTTGATTTGTC